AAGACAACCGAGGGGAAGAGGAGGCGGGAGGCGATGGAGAGGGATGCGATGAGGAGGGCGAACGGATGAAGATGAGGAGGTGATGAAGATGAGGAGGTGAGGAAGTTGAGGAGAATGTGAAGAAGAGACTTTGGAGATCTTACCGCGGTGCTGCTGGACGCGGGGAAGGTCGGGAAAGCTGGAGAAGTGAGCGAGCGGGCAAACAAGTGAGGCTCGCGTCTTGAGGAGACACCTTAAGAAGCCTCCTCCTCCTCCTCCTCTTCCTCCTCTCATCCAGCCAAACAAGGAGCGGTCCCCCTATTCCGCACCCCCCCCGCCCCTGGTCCCCTCGGCGCAGTCGGTCCGCTCGGCTCCTTGTAGGGCAGGCCTTGGGGGAGTTGGCCAATGGCGCGTCGGGGACGTCCTCCCGCTTTCATACTTTGCCGCATTTTCATCATGAAGATGTTTGGGATGTTGCTTTTCTCCTTCCTTAGCCTCGGTTGTTTTTGCCAGTTCTGGTTCTTGTCGTGGTCAAGGTCCAAGTTCTTTTTCCGTTCCAACTTCTCCCTCTTGTCCAGGTTCTTCTCCTGATTCAGATTGTTCTGCCCACCTTGTATCAGGGTCCCTTTTGTTGAGGTCCTCAATGAGGCTCGCTGACCCTATGCTGACCTTGCGTTGACCTTCCGTGCCTTTTTAGACACGCCCCCTCCGCCGGATCCACCAATCAGCAGGCTTGGGTTCTTTGGCTTCTCCTGAGCTCAAAATGATGCTGGTGACATTGTTAGAATTGTGGGTAATGTAGTTGATAGGTCCCGAGGAAGACGTGGATGAAGATGAGGCCAAAGGTCCTGATGGAAGCGCACACACTCGCTTCTCCTTAAAAGGAAAATGGACGACGCACGAGACAACTTCCTGCTCAAGCGTGCATCAAAAGTCCAACAAGGAGCAAAACATCGGAGTGTCATCAAGTCCTAAAAAGGAGCTGAGGAGACATGCGACCCCCCCCCACACTCTCCACCACCCCCAGGAGAAAAAAAAAATATCTGAGGGAGGGGCCACCAATTGATCACCTTCTCATTTCTCACGCACCCGCGCACGCACAGTTTTGCTTGACGTTGACCGAAAATGGGAAAACTTTTGTACTGTAGACGGACTTGTGAAGCTCGAATGTGATTGGTCGGCTTACATCCACACATGTAGCTGCTGTGGAATGTGTGTGAATGTGTGTGTGTGTGTGTGTGTGTGTGTGTGAGTGAGTTGGGGGGGGGGCGTAAATGATAGATTTCCTGGACCCCACATTTTATCGGTTAGACACCCACAGATTCACCTATCGCAGAATTTTTTTTCATGGGAAGCACATATCGGAAGTTTATCAAGAATCATTTTTTAGGTTTATGAAAACAAAATTCCAATGCATTTAAAACGGGCATCAATCACACTCTTCAACAGAAAATTTAAATCAGGGAATTTTTGACACTGATTTAAAAAATATATAAACATATATCTTTTTTAGCACATCAGGTTTTTAAGAATTTCATTTTTTCAGTTTGACCTATAAAATAGTTGTGCAATACGGCTTTTACCATGCAAATTTAGAGTTCTGACGTTTCAGGGAAAAAAAAAAACACCTGTTGCTGAGCCTAACCCTTAATTCATAAATGTTACAAAATATATTATAAATTATATTATTGTTATGAAAATGTGATGTGCTTGAGAGAAAGAAACGAGGACCAATTTGGCATCAGCAAAAGATGTAACTAGAAAACATAACTTGCATCTCTGATTAAAACCTTTTGTTGACCAGTGCTATACGCGGCATTTTGCTCTTCGCAGGTTGGCACGTATTTTGTCAATTTTGAAAATGGCATTTTTTTTTGTGGCCCCCATAGTAGTGCTGATGAAAAATGGTGTACCCCACATCGTCCAAGTTGCCCATCCCTGAGAAAGGACAAGAAGAAGAGTATCACATCTGTATGTGTGCGAGACACAGTGGAACAGGAGAGAGAGCGCCACTCGTTCCAGCCCCCCCACCCTCTCTCCCCGGCAAGGGGAGAGCAAGTCTAAATCATGTTGCTTATCAGTACTGCTCTGCTGTGATGTTGCTCAGGCAGAGCCCGGCAAAGAGCAGAAAGCCTTGCGGACCGCCGCCGGGACCCGGCATCCGCCCGGCCGCCCCAGAGCTGGAGAACCTGTCCCCGCCGCGCCCGTCGCCCCCGCCTCGCGCCCCTCTCAGCGGCATGTACCCCGAAGAAAGCCGGGGGTCCGGTGGGGTTGCCACGGTGGACTTCCTGGAGGGAACGTACGACTACGCTTCCCCGGCTCCGGCCCAGGCGCCGCTTTACAGCCACCCCGTGCCGGGCTATTACTCGGCACCCCTGGAGACCCACGGATCGCCTACGGACGGCAGCCTGCAGTCACTGGGCAGCGGGCCCACAAGCCCCCTCGTGTTTGTGCCCACCAGCCCTCGACTCAGCCCATTCATGCACCCCCCCGGCCATCACTATCTGGAAACCACTTCAACACCCATCTACAGGTGAGACCCAACCCTCTTCAACTTTCATTGTCTCTCACGCTCTTTGTCACTTTCGGCATCTTATCGGGTGGGAGGTGACGCCCCCCCCCACCCCCAACCAAACTCTGATTGCGCTTTGCTGATTATGCAACTCCAAACAACCGCTACGACAGTTTACTCGCCTTTTTTTGAAAATTGTCTTTTTATCTTGTTAGCCGAAGGACAGCTTGTGGGAAAAAAAAAAAACATTCTGTCAACAGTGAGTGACCCCGGCGGTACGCAAACACTAATTACTGAATGTGACAGGACTGTTAGTTTAATCTTTGACTTGATTCAAAACATGGCCACTATCGCTGCGGACGGGATCAAGCTGCTTTTTAATTCCAGAGATTAAGCAAAACTCTGAGGGACCTTGAGCCAGGAACAACACGTACAAGCATCGCGGCAATGTTTCCATATGTATAAAGTGAAATCGGAAACTGAGTTTGCATTAAGGTACAGATTATCTTTGAACCGAATGCAGCCGTGTCATCGAGAATTGACAAGTAGGTCAAGAGGCCTCGTACCTGTGGCAGGTCCAGCGAGATGGTCAGTCAGCAGCAGGCGTCCAGAGACGACCAGTGCGGCACCAGTGACGAGGCGTACGTCTTGGGGGGCTCGGAGGCCGCCGCCATCGGGGTCTTCGAGATGGCCAAGGAGACGCGCTTCTGTGCCGTGTGCAGCGACTACGCCTCGGGCTACCACTACGGGGTGTGGTCCTGCGAAGGATGCAAGGCCTTCTTTAAGAGGAGCATTCAAGGTAGGCACTACTTTCTACACAAAAAACAACAACAACAAAAAAAAAAGACCATTTTTCACAAATTCAGGTTTGTAAACACAATATTAAGCAGAATATCCATGGTGAGACTAGCGGGCGGGCATGGAATGTTTTGTCGAGAATTTTTTGACTTAGACTGTAAATTGGAATTGGTCACTTGGATTGACAAAGTAAATCCATTTTTGGTCTTTGGAGTCTTGAGATTGACTATAACGGGACTGTTCTAAGTATTATTGAAAACATGACCTGTCAAGTTAAGAAAGGTTTCGCAATGGCGAAAGTTTGACCGTTGAAAGGATTCTCATTCCATATTTGCTTTGGGAAAAATAACAGGGGAATGATATAACCCCCGAGCGTGTCATCGACATGACAGATATTTTCCTTGGCTGATGGGGCACAATGAACAACAACAACAACAAAAGCAACAAAAAAAAACAGTAATTGTGCCTAGCAACAAGTTGCTACTACTGTACCTGGCAGGACCAGGAACACAGATCCAGTCAATAAGTTCATGTTGAGTGGGACTCCAGACATGTCACCAAAATGTCTGGCAAGACAGTAGCTCTCCTGTATAGATTAAAAAAAAAAGTATAACAATGATTGATTCAGATTGATTTTGTCACTATTCCAACTGACTCGTGGTATTGTCTAACCTTGACAGTGAAACAAACAATCAAACAGAAGCTGGCTTGTTGCCACGAGATGGACAAAGAAGCAAAAATATTTTTCCAACTTACTTTCAGTGTCCAACATCCCTCAGGTTGTGCTTGTACAGAGCAAAAGCTCCATCTGCTCTGTGTGGCTTCGTCATATTTGTGACGCCATATTGATGCAAAGAGCGGTCAGAGAATCCAATAGTCTCCATGGCGATGACAAAGCCGAGGATGCCACCTTTTAATTTCCTCCATCACAGATCCATTTAAAACGGGAATGGAGTGTTCCTGGACACTAAATAACCTCAATGTGAACTGAACACTGGAGCAGGGCCCCTTCAAGTCTGTAATAGATTTTTTTTTCCTTCTCCATTTTCAGGTCACAATGACTACGTGTGCCCGGCAACCAATCAGTGTACTATTGACAGGAATCGCAGGAAGAGCTGCCAAGCGTGCCGACTAAGGAAGTGTTATGAAGTGGGCATGATGAAAGGAGGTGGGCAGGAACACCCAAAAAATTCCTCTTAGTCTTCAAACTTTTCTATATTAAATTGATTAAGTCCATGTGACGCCAAGTAGGAGAGGCTCCGACTGCGAAAGCCACAAATATGTGCATCCACTGGCATTCTTCAGGCTAAGTTTAACTTTAACCTTGAAGTGATTTCCTCTTAAGGAGTACGAGCGCTGATTAGTGCACACCCACACTTTTGTTTTCATACTTCTTGAATCTCTTAAAACTATGTGCTGCTAGCCTGCTGACTTCTATTTCAAGACCATGTCACCCACTCTCCAGCTATGAGCTGTTCAGCATCACGATTCATTTAGTCCCACAAACACAGTATTATATGTATACCCTATTTCCTCATATAGTTACTGGGCGGCATTTATTTTCTCAACCCCAGAGAGAGAGAACCAAGCATCTATTAGGAGTTAGGGCTGGGCAATTAATCAAGATTTAAAATTTGGTTTCTCACTTAAAAAAAATTCTAATCGAAGAGGCTGCGTTATCGTGAAGAACGGCGCGGTGCTTTGGCAATTCAAATATTACAATTGTCGCGTTTTAATTACATTGACACGGCTAATAGGAAAATCAATGTAAAATCCCACTGACGGGCGAATGGGGAAATTAGCATTGACTCCCGGGAGTTATATTCATTCAAATAACAAATATTCAAACACAAACGCTGTAGAAACACATCCGCATAGGTAAAATAATCATACTCACAGGCATGCATTCTTCCCAATCTGTAAATAAATTAGTTATATTAGTTGAGTTTCAGCGCAACTTTCTTCTTCTACTCTTAATGCATTCGAAGTGTGTACTCCGTGGATGCAATTGCACCACACTGCCTCCAAGGGGCCAGCGAACGCACCCCAGTCAATCCCTCGATTTTTAAAAACACGAATAGAACAACAAAATAAGCTAAAAATGAACATGTTTAAGACAAAAGGTAGATGCTTATTCACCGTTTGACTTACGGATGGAGATAAAAAGCAGGAAAGGTGCGGATGTACTGGAGCAGAGTAAAAATGCAAGAGGCTTGAATTCCACATGGTATTGTACAGGGTCACTTTATAAGCCAAACAAAAAAATAAAACCTAAAAAGAAGAGTGTTCAAGAATAAAGTGTTCAACACGCAGGGATGACTGGGAGTTTTAGTAGTTGACTAAAAAAAAAAAGAAGCACGTTTTGCATTTAATGAGTAATGACTAATCGTTTTATTAATTGAAATCTCAATAGCAATCAAAAATAATTGTGATGAGTATTTTTTTTCCCCATAATTGCCCAGCCCTATCAAGGCCTAAGTGAAGGCATCAATCAGGGGTAGTCATGAAATTCTCTATTGATCTATGTTACATTCTTGGTTAAATAAAGTAAATAATATATTTCCTATGAAACTGGAGATGAACACAAACATAAGAATGCATGCTCACAACAGTGTGGAGTGAGCACAGCGAGTCAACTGGAAGGCTGATCCCCATAAAGATGGCGTTTCCACGTAACGTAACTGCTTTCATACTGTGCAGGGAAGTCGTTTATAACATCCAAGTGGCAGCCGGTAAGACTCCTCACTTCAGTGCATCTGCGACTCTTTACGTGCCTCGGTAGGTGCTGCTGTTGTGGATAGTGACGGCGTTCAAATGGGTTTAGTTGGTTAACTATTTTTTTATGTCCGTTTGTGAACAATATTGTCTGTGAACTCAGATTATTACAGTTGTCACTTGTTTCTATCTGTGGGGGGAAAAAAAAAAAAGTAGGCGTCTACTGAGTGTTTTTTGGACTGGAAGGCGCTATGTGAAGCAATACGGTAATCCGTTTTATTTGGTATGGCACTGCTGTTTCCACAAGGTGTGCGCAAAGACCGCGGTCGCATTACACGCCGTGACAAGCGGCGGACCGGCGCCACGGAGAAGTTGACCAAAGAGACCGAGCATAGAAAAGTGGCCCCCCAGGACGGGAGGAAGCAGAGCGGCGGCGGTGGAAGTGCCGGTGGGGGAAGATCGTCAGTGACGGACATCCCTCCTGACCAGGTTCTGAATCACACACAAGAAGAAACTTCCAAAAAGCACATTTCAATGGATGGAGCCATCATTCAATTTGAAGACTGTGTTTCTTTTCGCCCTCGTCAGGTGCTTCTCCTGCTACAGGGGGCCGAGCCCCCCATATTATGCTCTCGACAGAAGCTGAGCCGACCCTACACGGAGGTCACCATGATGATGTTACTCACCAGCATGGCTGACAAGGAGCTGGTCCACATGATCGCATGGGCCAAAAAGCTGCCAGGTAAAGCCCGAGTAACAAACGAGCTACTCGCCAGACCTCCCAAAACAGCATTTATGTCCACGGGATCATCAAATATGCACTAACGGGACAGAAATATACCATAGAGCAGTGCTTCTCAACTGTCATTAATTCAGTTTCTAGTGTTGCCTTGAGATATGAGTGAGCTAACTTTGGAGTTTTTTGAAATACAAGCCGTCCTTCGGCTACTTCGCGACCAAAAAGTTGATACGAACACTTCGCTACAAGCAACGGTTTGGCAGACGGTGAATCATTTTTCACTTGCGCGGCGTTTGATTGACAGCAAAGGTGTGGATTCGCAGCGCAGGATTTTTCATGATTCTAAAGCCTCGTTTTATATTCTTGGTGATGATTTTAAACACTCAAATTCGACATGGCTGTTAGATTGACATTTATTTTCACTTTACGGGGACTTTAAGGCAAAGTTGTGCGGCTGTTTAACCCTTTCAGGGACAGCAATTACTACAGTGGACAGCTTATCATGTTACCTCTTAGATGGCAAAAAAAAAAGGGGTGGGAGTGGGGACGTGACACCTGTAACGCGCAAACAGGAAAGCAGAGCGATTTTAGTGCTGGTAATTACAGTCATCACTTCTGCGAGGGTTGTTGGGGGTACTGGGCGAGGCCCCTCCCCACGGAAGCCAAATGGACCACATGTCACCTTCGGCTCTCTTCGGTGAGAAAATTCCAATTTGAGGCGTTACCACCTCGCGTGTTGCCAAAAGCTCCGCTTTTAATTGCAAATGAGAGGACAAACACCAAGGGTAATAATGCGAGGCGGCCGAGTAGAGGCGATAAGGCTTGTTGTGACAACACGGCGACTACACGTGGTTTCATTTCGGGCCGACGGCGACAACAACAGAAGCCGCAGCGGCAGCTTGCATATTTTGCGTTGAGCGAGTAGGCAGAAGCTAATCACCGTGACTAATCATCCGACGAAACCGTCTGTGTTTGGTCTGGATGCTCAAGCGTGAGTCACGGCCACGCGGCGAGTGTCAAGTGTGCTGTACGCGTGTCACGTGACTTTGTGCTCAGGCTTCCTCCAGCTGTCCCTGCACGACCAGGTGCAGCTGCTGGAGAGCTCGTGGCTGGAGGTGCTGATGATCGGCCTCGTGTGGAGGTCCGTCCACTGTCCAGGCAAGCTCATCTTCGCTCAGGACCTCATTCTCGACAGGTAAAAGAGGAGAAGGAGCGCTGGCCTACTTCTTGGGGGGGGACGCCTGCTCTTTGCGTCTCCATCACACTCTCACACAACCCCCTCAAGAGTGACACATCAGCATTGTAGATTTTCCATTTCGCACCTTTGCGGCCATTGTGCCATCCCAACACGTCTTGTCATACGGTGTCGTACAGTGAAAGACTAATTATGTGCCCCCCGCGGCGTAGAGAGGACCCCCTATCTCTCCCTCACCGCGTCATTATCCAGCTTCGCTGACAACCAGGACAGATGTAATCAAAGCCTCGATGCACAGAATGATAGAAAATGAATAGCGACGGAGAGATGGAGAGTTGAGAGGACGAGGAAATAGAGATGGAAGAAGGGACGGCTGTCCCCCCCCCCCTTCAGTCCTTCCCGCGTTCTGAGTAAACAACCTGACCAATCATCACTTCTACCTTTGTAAAAAAAAAAAAAAAAAAAAAAATGACAGATGAATCAGAGGCAGACAGACAAAGCTTTTAGCTTGCTGTGCCTGATGGTCCCATTTGATCGGGAAATGGATTAGCGTATTATCTGTAAAAAGCCGGCCCCTAGCGTAAGTGTCCTGCCAGATTGGCCGTGATGACTAAAACGCAGCGGGTCAGGGTCGACGCATTCCCTTAGCTGCAGCGCCACCTTCGCTCTGATAGCATCCGAACCTCCCGCGGCGCTTGTCTGCTGCGCCCGAAAGTCGAGAACCGAAGACGGTGGCTCCATTAGCTCCTCAACTGGACACGTTATTTGGCTTTTGATGGAGGGAATAACATCCAGCCATTTTTGTGTCGCGCTTGTTCGGGGGGAGCTGAAGCTTATCCGGCTAGCTAAAGAGGCGGCGTAGCGGTCATCTAGGCTAACAATCATTCGCACCTGTGGACAATTGAGACCCTTCACTCAACCTAACATGCATGCTCTTGGAAAATGAGGGGAAAGGCTGAGTAGTTGAACCCAGAACCTTAAAATTAGGCGCAGACGCGCGAAAGCACTCCTTGTGTAGTAGCAACACTTCCAAACAAGTAAGCTGTGCACTTACACAATAACTCGGATGACACGTGACAGATATGGAAAGCGGCTTTGAGTAGTTTGTGACCGTGACTACTCGAGGTCATTGTTGATGACTTCAAGGATGAGTCGTTGGCGCAATGTTTGTTTGTGTCGTGCAGGAGTGAAGGCGACTGCGTGGAAGGCATGGCGGAGATCTTCGACATGCTCCTGGCCACCGCCTCCCGTTTCCGCATGCTCAGACTCAAGTCCGAGGAGTTCGTCTGTCTCAAAGCCATCATCTTGCTCAACTCCGGTAAAGCTGAGAGCTTTCATTTTAATCCGTCCCAAAGACTGGCGACGGATGCATCTCATCGGAACGCGTGCTCCTTGTTGATTGTTTGCGCTCTCGGGAGTGGATGCGTCCCGACGACACCCGCAGACCCCGTAACTGGAGCGCGAACACGGTGTCCCGGAAAGTGCCCGTCAGCGCCGGTGATGCTAGCGAGCGTTGCCACGGCAACACGTGGCAGCGCGCACAAAAAAAGGCCGAGCTCGCTGTGAAAGGATGAAGCTATTTGGCAGGAGCGGGAAAGCGAAAATACCAAAGAGATGACGCTGGCGACTCAGCTGCATGAGCCGGATGGACTTGTGATTGCTGCGTGGGCATCCAAACCGCCGCTCTCGACCTTTTATATAAACTTTCCTGCACTACTTCTTCAAATAGTTGCACTCCTAGACAGCGTGACCCACCCAATTAGTAGTCACATACTCGTACGACAAGCACTGACGAATCTAAGCAAGACGCAAATTTCGAGTTGTGGCGACTGAAGAGATGATTGCCGCGCTTCTTCCATGCAGGCGCCTTTGCGTTCTGCACGGGCACCATGGAGCCGCTTCACGACGGCGCGGCGGTGCAGGGCATGCTGGACAATATCACGGACGCCCTCATACATCACATCAGCCAATCAGGGTGCTCGGTGCAGCAGCAGGCCAGGCGCCAGGCCCAGCTGCTCCTTCTTCTCTCCCACATCAGACACATGAGGTGAATGATACTTTTTTTTCATTTTTTTTTAACTTCTCAGTGGTGATGGGCATTTTGGTAGTCAATTCACTGAAGTACATCATGACACCAGCTCGGGTCTAGAGGCTTTGCTTTGGTAACTCCTCCATTATTCTGGCACTGGCTCACTGGTTCATTTTTGTTTCAGTTTGAGTTCTTTTTTTTGTTTGTTTGTTTTGTTTTAAATTCGTTTTCAGAGCGGGTTTTTTTTCTACTTTTATTAGTTTTAGTATTAGAGTGAGTTTTTTTCATGAGTATTTTGGGTGCATGTGTAGAGTAAAACTCAACAAAAATATTATTTTAAAAACAACCGTCCGCAAATAAAATACAGGTGATATAGAAGAGTCCACAGACTTTGAATTAAAATAAGCGCAGTGCGTAGGACTTCGAAAATTACATTAGCAAAGGCGGTCTCGTTTTCCATCCCTTGTTTGCCAAGTGGATTGATGTGATCTAGTGGCGCAGTAAAAGGACCACAACTCCCAGATGACTGTTCGACCTTCCTCATCCCGACGAATTTCCATTAGCGGCATGCTAACATTTTGATGTACGCTTGCAGTAACAAAGGCATGGAGCACCTGTACAGCATGAAGTGCAAGAATAAGGTACCACTGTACGACCTGCTGCTGGAGATGCTGGACGCTCACCGCCTGCACCGTCCCGTCAGAGCCACACAGATATGGTCCCAGCCGGAGAGAACGCCTCCTAGTGGCAGTCACGGCGCCACCTCCAGTTCAGGAGGCCGCAGCGCCCACGAGAGCCTGAGCAGAGGCCCTCCATGTCCAGGCGTGCTGCAGTTCGGAGGCTCCCGCCCCGACTGCGCAGAAATCCTGTGAAAACAGACAAAAAGATCAGTGTTGCAGTTGAGGACATTTGGTGATTATTTATGCATTTCTGACATCACTCTGACATAACAAGATGCTCTTTGATTTTTTCAACTGGTTGCTCACACGGCTTCTCCTAAGTGCAAACTGCACTATTTGAAATTCATGTTTTTTTTGTTTTTCATTTTGATTGCCATTCAACCAAAGTGCACTTCCTCTTAGCTTTAAGGGGCTATTGGGCATTACTTTCATTTGTTTGCATAATAAGCTGTGATTAATTACATGTTGGCTATTTTTACCTGCCAGCTGAGTACCAGCCTGTCTGATGTCTAATGTTCGCTAAACTATTACCAGTTTGATTATATTTGTAAACACTATATCTTCAGTGTTTGTGTTTCTGTCTGCTGCAATGTTGGATTAAAAGAAAAAAAATGCGCAAGTTACACAGCTTCAAGTTTGAGCCAAACTGTCATTGGGTAGATTTATTTACTTGCACTTGTTTTGTATTCACTGTTGATTATTTCTTGTCTTGTTTTATCACGATTATGTGGTGAAAAGTATTCACTGACTGACAAAAAAAAAATCTGTCTTTGGAAATTTAAATATATTGTATGTCAACATTTACTTGGAAAAACATTAAAATGAATTTTGAACCATGGACATGCCTCAAAGTGTTCATAATTTGTAAATGTATTTTATATCCACTTTCTCCTCACTACATCCCAAGGCTAGGCAATACGTATTTAAAATCTGATCTTTATCACCTTGACTTGCAGAACAAGCAAATGACAACGAGGTTATACTTAAGTTTTAGTTGTGCATTTCCCTTCTGGGAATTGCTTGACTGGTACACCAAACAAGTTTTGACCTGAGAAGTAGTTTGTGTTTCACGTTCAACAGTTTAAGATAGCATTAACTATCAAACTGCATGGCTCGGCTGGTGCATTTCTCTCACCGGACCTTCTTCGCATATGTGGACGCATGGAAGCCACATAAGGAAAAAAAATGTCAAACTCAAATTAACTACATTTATCGTCCATCCATACCATGACCACTTACCAAAATAAAATGATGGTCTGACTCGGCCCTTGGGATGGTTACGAGTCTTCTTATTCATTTAAACACGACTTAATATTTCAGGTTTTATTATTTGCAAAGAGTATTCAGTATTAGCAAACTGTACAAACATAAATAACAAATTTCTTTTTTTTTTTCTTTACATCGTGTGGTTTGTACCGATCGCTCAGGAATAATAATTAGCATGACGAGAATAAAAGCACATTATCATTATTAGCTTCACAACCAGTGATTGTTTGGCTTTGGGGAGTATCAAGTGCATGCGCATACACAAAGATTAAAAAATATATACGTATATTTCGGACAAGTGGTCATTAAAATCATCACAATTAGTCCAAATGATTAAATACAGAGCATGAAAAAAAGTAACACAGGAAAACAAGCCTTGGCATTTGGCGGGGATAAATCAGCCGTTTTAGCTCAAACTACGGCTTTTCAGTTCGTCAGTGCAGTACCTTTCACACAGCCAGTGCTCTGACGCTTCTTCAAAGAAAAAAACAAAGTGAATAAGAATGACGGAGAACTGAACACAGACGAATTAAATTTCACGTTTAGCGCTCAATAACTAATTATTTGTTTCCGGCCAATTCATCGACTAAGCCTAGCACGGGCTAGTAATGAAAGCGGCCGTCACATCCGGGTGTTTATTCTCGGAAGCGAATCATCTTCCCGGTATTTTCATCCCGGAAGTGTCACAAACGTGTATTTATTTATTTTAAACATATGTCATTTCACACCGTAAACGTCAATGAACTCAATGTGATTAGAGTCACGTTTTTGTTCTTTGTATTTCCAAGCGTCTGTTTCCTTGTGCTGTTTATTTATTAATAATCTTCATAGTTGAACATAAATAATAGCAGCACTGGGAATAGTAGACGACTTTGGCTCCCACTGAGTGTATATAAATAGTGCTTTCTTTCTCCTCATTGAAAAACACAAAACCAAAGAAAAACCCTCATAATTATTTATATCTACACATTTAACAAATAAAAAATATTTCACAAAGGTTCATTTGTACGCCTTAGAGAGACGGTGACATATTTGTCTCACGTCCTGGTCATAATATATTGTTGGTGTAGGGCACGGGGTGAAAAGGGCACATTCACAGGAGTCCTTGGCAAAGTGAGAGCGAGGAAAAAAAAAAAAAAAAAAGCAGCTATATGGGCGGAGGTCCATTGGTGTAGCGAAGCATGGGGTGGAAGGAGCGGGCGAAGTTGTTGGCATGGTGACAGCTGTAGTCCTCCTGGCTCATGGGCACCATGCAGGCCAAGGCGATGAGGAGCAGGAGTAGAAGATGCACGGGCAATGCCGCGCGCAGGACCCTCTGCATGAAAGACGGCTGCTTGGAGGAGGGGGAGGACGACGACGAGACGCCGTCCAAAAGGTCAGAACGGGAGGAAACGCAGCCAGCGGCGCCGGTGGGTGACCTCCTGCGGCTGGGAGGGAGGATACGCAGAAAAAGGAGTCAAGCACTCCAGTGTTTGCAAAGCATTGCTATGGGCAGCAAACTCGTTTCAATCAAGGTATTTCTGCACCAAAATAGCATTTTTCTCTTATCGCCGAGATACTTTGGACAGTTCATTTTAGTTAATGACTACCTGAGAGCGAAGAGCCGCTTTCATCGCTCTGCTCATTTCATTTAACGAGATATTACTATCATATAGTTTGCTGCGCTGCATCAAATTGAGAGTTTCTAACATGGTGACCTTATGCAGCTACACAAAATTAATTATTTCTTGTTCTGACCACCAAAGCTGTACACAAAAGACACACACACGCACACAGATGTGACCAGAAGCCAGAAACCACAAAGAATTCAAGCACATGGAAGAACAAGTGGGAGGAAGTCAGTGTTTGAGAGTTCAACGTCATGATGTTCTTATTGTGCAGACGCAAGCAGCGGTAATGCTACAAGTGTATGTCTGGATACTTTCTCTTGTCAGTGCCGTGAATCAGAAGACAGGACGACGTGTTCTTACCGCTCCCATCAGATCACCCACCCACAGACACAAGTGCTGTGACACATTGCCTCTGATAGCACAACATAGTGTGTCTGCGTTACACCATCTTCAATGCCAATTGCTGTCGCTATGTGGTCTTGTATTCTTGGGGATTAAAGGAGACCTATTCTGGAAACTTGACTTTTTAATGACTTGTCTACAAAGTTGTGGTTATACCATCTTCCCCAAATTCTTTTCCAAAAGCCTAAGATAACGATGAGTTGAGCATACGCAAATGAATCGGCAAGCACATACCTCCACCGACGAGCCTAATTCCTTTTTCACCCAAGCATTACAGCACTCCATTTTTACCAAAACAAAACAGACACAATGCTGAACGGTTCCTGAATAGCGAGGGAACCGTTTTGAATTGTGAAATGGACTACATGTCTCTTTTCATGTTATTTTTAGACGCAAAAGAGGCTCGATGAGGATTGTCGATTCAGAGGATTAAAATTTAGGGACATTTGATTGAAACCAAAGGGGAGGGAGTAAGGAAAAAGGAAAGGAGAGAGGAAGGTGGGAGTTAAAGGGGAAACAAGGCAGCTTATTGCATTACATCCTGCTAAGAATGAGAGGAAACATGAAGGGAAACAAAACAAGTGAAAAAAAGAGGTTGCCATCCAGTGGGCTGCGGGGGACGGCGGGGACATGTGGACAAGCGGCAAAGTGAAGCAAACATACAAAGGCGAGAAGGCAAGAGCCTGACAAGAGGCTACTCCCTGATCGCTTAGGAGCTGGTCACATGACCTCTAGAAAAAGCGGGACACCATGGAACGCCATTTTTCCAAAATGATCAACTGATGCAAAGTGAAGGCCATTTTTGTTTGGTTTGAGTTTTGCGTTCCATCCCCCGGTCCCGTCTTTGTAGAGCTCAATGAGGGGTGCTCAAGGTACCTGTGGCGCGGGCCGCTCTCGGGGGATCCGGGCTGGGCCTGACTACTTTTGCCTCGGGGCTGAAGGGCGTAATGAGCAGGGTGTGAGGCGTAAAAAAAAAAAAGAAAGAAAGGAAATGTTTCAGTCAAGAGGCAAATGAGGACATAAAAGAACTCAAAAGAGTCAAGCCAAAAATCAGTTATCGTCAACAAAGCAGCAATGTAATCATCAATGATTGATCGATTGGCAAGAAATCTGGCTTCTCAATTTCTGCGACAGAAATATATCAACATGGAAAAGTCATATTTTAAAAAAAAAACAAAAAGCCAGGTTTTCTTGTGCATTATCTTGCTGGATCAGCATGTTGAAAGTGGCATCTAAAAAAAAAAAAAAAACAAGCATGGACCTCGACAAGAAAGTCTTACAGGAGACACTTTTTGGTTTACGGGCAAAACAACAGGAGTTGCATCTCGATCAATAAAAATAAAAGAGTTGCATGAAGGAGGAGTATAAGGGCGACACAAATGAAGAAAAAAGATTGGACTTTTTTTTTTGTTTCCCCTTTTCAGCGTGGCCCTCATACTCCCTTGAAATCTTCTCTTAGCTGATTTCTTATAAGCTAAAAAAATGACATTACCATTGGTCGCAAACTTGACTCGGAGGCGGCAGACACAGCAGAAAGAATCGGACCCGCCGCAGAGACGGCGGCGATGTCCGATTCAGACATCGGTGAGAATTCCTGAAAAGAACAAAAAAGAAAAAGCACCAAAGTTGTAAAACAATGGGGCGTCATCCACGAGAAAGCGTCGTCGTCGTCTCCACCTGTTGCGGACTCTGGCGCTCCAGTCGTTTCTGAAGCCCTTCCAGGTCGGCGTCGACCTCACGCAGCAGCAGACGTAGCCTGTTCCAGATCACGTGCACCTTCTCCTGCGCCTCCAGACACTCTCCGCCCGGAGAGCTGTGCAGGGGCGCCGCCGGAGGCTGCGCCGTGCTGACCAGCAGCTGAGCCGACAGCTCCTGGAGGGAAGACACTTTCTGCTGCGAGTCCAGCAACTCGCGCTTGATTTGCTGTTGTGAGAATGAGGACAACGTCGAGTCAAGAAGATATTGAGACTAAAATCGAAGAAAATGCCTACAATGTGTATCATGAAAGTACCGTGAGTGTCCTGTGACGAGCGCGCAGGGCTTGCGCGTTCAGGTTGGGAGGGATGGGCACCACCTCGTTCCTCCTGCGGTCAATGTTCTCCAACCACAGAAGCAGACCATGACTCATCTCGTGGAACTCCTGAGGAGGAAACATTTTGTTTCTACATTGATGCATTTTTCTAGAACACGTCTCCTTCAATACATTATTTCCCAACCTTTATTGAGCTATTTGAAAGTGCTCTGAATGGTTACTGTTTTGTTTTGTTCGTCCAGCACCTGGCACTGCATGAGCGCTCTCTGCAGCTCCTCCCTCCACTCCTCCAGCGAAGTACCCAGGCGATCCCAGTGCGCGTTCATCTCTTTCAGGGCATCTCGCAGCTCCCATGCCTCCTCGGAGTCGGGTTCCGACTGAAGGAAGTTGGCGCTGCTCAAGTTGATGGACAGGACCTCCGACTTGTGGGTTTCCATGCCCTTCTGAAGCTCCTGAGCACCACACGGGGTGGGGGGGGGGACGGATTCAGAAAGAAGCGTTGCTGCTAGATGTTTGCATTTTTGACCACTAACCCGTAGCTTTTTGATCCTCTGCTGGATGTCGTGGATGTCCGTGCTGAGCTCCAGGCCTCGCAGTTGGCCCAGTTCGGCTTCGCAGCGGCCCAGCCATGCACGCATGGTCTGCAGGTCCGAGATGAGCTGCTGCCACTGCTGGAGGTTCTGCTTGTGTTTGTGCTTGTCACTCATTGTCTGAGCCTGCAGCAGCTCCCAGCGCTCGATTACGCCTGCATGGAAGACACGTTTTACACGGCTTCGGATTTGTTTATTGGAGAAATTACATACTGTGATACCTTGACTTGTGAGTTTTGTTACACGTTAATGTACTCGTACAGTAAACCCCCCCACACTCGTTTAAAGGTTCTGGGTTCGTGGTCCCGCTATTTCACTTTTTTATTTATTTTTTTGTCAAGTCATGTAACTGAGTTCTGCTGCTTTTCGTTGTAATTCAACTGTTGGCCACAAGATGGCGCATGATACTGTTTAAGTCATATAACTCATTTTTTACAGAGGAAAACCTAATTATTGAATGTCTCAATCCTCTCACATCCTGAATTTTACACCTACAGACAGCAACAGGGTTATTTTATAATATACCTCTTTAGGCATGATTATTGACGGATATTGTGAGATCAGTTTGCTAGTTTGGAAAAAAACAGCATGATCCGCACACTGTTACACTGCGTGAATAAACACAAACCTGCATTCTGACTGTCAGCGCTGGTCGGGTTGGTGAGTCCGGGCATTTCATCTTCGTCCTCCGTGAGCTCTTCCTCGGCTCTCTTCACCGCATTGATGCTGCCGCGACACTCTCCCATCAGACGCATCTGCATCAGTAATAATGGATTTAAGCACAAACACTTTCTGCCACAAGAAAAAAAAAAGGGAAAATATACATATGTAATGTAATTTTGCTTTTTTGTTTTGAAGCCTATTTTGTTGTATAAAGGTATATTTAATCATTAGCAGCGACGCACATAGCCCATATAGGTGGAGTCAGCGTCGGGGCTGGAGCGGCTGGCGGCCTCCTCTCTGGCCTGCAGCTGGTACCGTGACGCGTCCAGAGCCTGGTCCAGTTGTCTGAGGCTGGCCTCCAGCTGTCCCGGATCGCCTGCACACAAAACACAACGGAGTGAAAAAAAATGGAAAAATCCTGAACTGAGCATCACGTTTTCGTCAGGCATGTTGTAGACAGACAGGATGCATGCATGAATCCGAAGTGTAAAGACTTCAGGTGGGGCAGGTTAAACATGGTTGTTATGTGTGGACTTTCAACATGCAAAGGATTCATCTTAGCATGCTGCTCAATATTATTGTGATGGATGGGGACATGCAGTTGCCTTGCTGGCAAGCACGATTTAGTATGGCGGCTGGTTTCGTGCGTTCCCGACACATGCCGCGACATTTCCAATCAGTTCTGCGGTTCCTACCGGAGGACGATTTCAATGTGTTCTCAGTCAGTTTTATATAGGCCTCAGGACTCTCGGGAATAACTACGTCTGAAGAGGAAAAACAGAACATTCCCTTTTTATGAAGTGGGTTACAAATGTGCTTCTGCAGAAAGTCTTCCCCGCGGGAGTCGACGCTGTTGTGGTCATTTTTAACTTCCTGTTTGTGTGGGCAGGTGTCCCAATGCTTTTTGTTTATGTAGTGCATGTGCGTCTTGACCTCAGTGATATTCATTCATTGTCTTGTAAACACAGTTTTATAGAGCTAGATAACTGCCAATAGACCAGACCACTCGAGTCAAGCAAAAAAAAAATCGACCTTGCTAGACAACAGTGACCTCTGTTGCCAGATGCTGAAATGACAGTTAAACACAGAAGAAACACCGAACCTGACAGCACTGCAGTAGCCGTCCTCAGATACTCCTCTTCCTCTTGCCCTTGGTTGCGTCCCCCCGGGCTCTCCAGACCCCGGCTCAGGTCGTAATCGTGGTCCCACTCCAACGGGATGGAATCCACGCTGGCCGGGGTCTCCCGGCCCGAGTGTTCTGCCCGAATGAGGGTGGCCGCGCGACTGGAGTTGCGAGGGGGCGTCGAGTCGGACCACTGCAGCACGGACAGGTCGGTGCCGTACTCCGTGTCGGAACCATCCAGCTCATCGTCTGCCAGCTGCGAGATGAGGATGGAAAAGTGTTACATCATGAAATTAATGCTCCACAAAGTTCACTCTCTTCGTTTGTAATTGCCGGTATTTTAACCATATGTGTTCAGTGTACTCACAGGAAAACGTGTCAGCTTCTTGTAGTATCTATTGACACGTCCGAAGACCTCCTGGTAATACCTCTGCAGCTCCTCCAGCTCCTCTTCGATCACAGCAGCATCGAGAGGTTCGCTCTTCTCGATCAGAGCGTCACCCTGCCTGAACACAAGCTCGATCTTGCCCATGTTCAAGTGGATCTCCTGCTGGAATGCCTGAAGCAAACACAAACACATGACCATCAATGCTCACGGAGAAGCCCACGGACGATTCGAGTTGTGTGCGGGACGACCTTGAGTTGTTTAATCTTGGCCTGTACGTCGCACTCGGAGAAGTGCTCAATGTTGGTGAGTTGAAGATCCATCTCGGTCAGCCACACAAGGATGCTGTCTCGAGCGGTCTCAAACTCCTCCCGCTGGTTGATGAAGTGCTGCGGGACATATGAAGATTTTGTTACCCTCACTGAAATTGTTAAAAAATTTGATTGTGGAAAAAAAAAATGTTCACAAAGTGTGTGTAATCCTTGTGTCGCTCCTGTAACTTATCCTTAAAATAATGCGTTTTAGTTAAGTGTGCGGTCGTTACCTTAAGACGGCGTAAGATAGCGGCCACCCGCTTCTGCAGGTTGTCCCACCTCCTGTTCCCATCATGCACCATCTCCCTCAGACAGCAGGAGGCATCTGTGCGGTTCTCACGGGCCAGGCGGCGGTACTGCTTGTTGATCAGCTCCAGCTGGGTCAAGCGCTCCTGCACTTGCCGTTGGAAAGCCTGCACACAAAGATTTGATTTGATTTTTTTAAATAATTTCCACATTCAACAAAATCATGCAAAGAATCCTACCTCAAACTTCTTGAGTTCCTCTTTGGCAACAGTATAGAGGACTCCAGAAGAGTTGGGCATAGCTGCCGTTCTCTCCGAAGTCTTCAACCACTCCTCAAAGCGGGAGTAATCATCCAAAAACTTCTGCCATAACCTCCAAGTCTCCTCAATCCTAAACGGAAAAGGTCCAGAATCGCTTTGATCAACTTCATTGTCTGTTTTGATTCCCGTGCCAGCTCATTCAAGACACCGACTTCAGCCTCCTCTCCATGGACATGGCGCAGATGTTCCTCCAGCGCCGGTCCAGCCCCCGGGTGGCCAGCTGGATGGAATCGCACTCTGTCTCGGTGGAGCATGCGTCGCAGTCGTGAAGGAGCACCTCGCACAGGTTCAACACGGACGCCACGCCCGTGCTGTGCCTCTCAATGTCCTTCTGCAGCTCCTGAAAAAAAAGGAGCACAACAGCAATGTCGTTTGGATGTTGTCGCTGCGTGAAAATAATATCAAGACAAAGTTTTTTGGGAGGGGAAAGTGTGGGAGGGGGTGTGGGGGGGTGTCTTGCCTGCTGCTGGTTGAGCTTCCTGTGGATCTCCTGCTCGTCACACGTGTCATAGACAATGGGCCTGGATAACTCGGACTCGATGTGAGCCAGCCAAGAGCGCAGGCTGCTCATGTTTTTCTCCAGCTGTTGCACGGCCACCAGAGTCTCCCGCAATTTCTTCAACCTGACGCAAGGCAGATAAACAGTCATGCACGGTACGTACACTAAGCACTCAATGTGACAAATAAGAACAAATCTTATTTGATTGCATTTGAGTTGAAATGCATTTACAGTGTCATTTAATGTGTTCAAAGCATGTAGCACAATTTTTTTTTTCACATACTGCAAGGAAGGTGCGGTAAATATGACAAATCGGGGTTGGGTTCATTGTTCAGCACAAAATAAATGCTTGGCACCACAATGTGCGAAACCATCAACGTATCGTCCCAGTGTCATTTATTGTGTTCAAAGCATGTAGTGCATTTTTTTTCCCACATACTGCAAGGAAGGTGTGGCACATATGACAAATCGGGGTTGGGTTCATTGTTCAGCACAAAATAAATGCTTGGCACCACAATGTGCGAAACCATCAACGTATCGTCGACGCATGACACCTCACCCCACAAAACAATCTGATCTCTCGCCAAAAAACACTCGCGATGAATAAAGGTGAAAGTGACATTATTAAATATGTCACTTGCCACTTTGCACTTGAATTCTTCAACTAAAACTTTATGCGTAATCCAACGTAATTAGTTGACAAATAGTATACATTCTTGTCATTCCTGGTCATCTCCTTCTTCAGTTTGACCTAGAAACACACCAACGCTGCTCCTGTAGTCATACAATCCAGCCAATGATTCTAGGAATGCATTCGGAAATACAAAACAAAAAGGGCAACAGCCCCAGTACGCTTATCGCTGATCCTTAACTCGCACGTAAACTACGACTCATCATTTAATCACCATTAAAGTCCACCTAAGCTCCAAGCGCAGACTACATAGTTTAAAGACAGGGCTTCGACACTGCAGAAAAGCTCGCGGAGGTTTATCCTGCCTGGTGGCGTCGCAATCGCAATGTGGCAGATCCTCAGCCGGGCAGTCTGCCATCTTCTCCGTCCCCAAATCCAAAACCATGTGGCTGCAAGATTCCCGGAGACGACGTTTCGCGAGGAAGCGTTATTCCTCGTCTGAGTGTAAGCCGCCTTCTCTTTTCTGCTCCGTGCGTGGGGACTTTCTCCCACGGAGTGTGTGTGTAAGGAGGTCGGGTTGGGGCAGCTGGTGCTGTGTAGTGTGGCACAAGTGTGCCTTATCAACTGTTGTACTCCAAGGTTAAAAAAAAAAAAAGGAGTGTGTGTCGGGGGTTGGAGTGACAAGTCCTGCTGTTGCTAAATGTGGACTTACAGTCTCAGAGGCATGTGCCAAAGAGGCGGGCTGAAAAATACACTTCAAATGAACGTGAGCAAAGGCAAGAGAAGCCATGCATGATGATGGCAGCGCAAAGTACGGAAAATAGATATGCACTTAACAGTTGGAACGAGCATAATGGCACTGGAAAGCGATTGTAGTAATTGCTTCAAAGTTAAGATCCCTGCTATGCGTCGCTCGAGCAAAGTGTACGACAATGAAAGCGCAGCTGTCTGCGTGAGGTCAGTCAGAGTGTCCCTACCCGTGATTCCCTACAGAGGACAACAGCCGGGTGGCGGCAGTGGAAAATAGCGTCCGGACTGCAGATTTTATCGTAGCACATAATATAGCATCTTATTTTGTGTCTGTGATTTAATGTTTCTGTTCATATTATTAGGATATATTTGTTGATATCGATCATTGTATTTTATTTCCATATTTCTTGCTAATCCTATGACATCCTATTCTATTTTTATCATAATAATAGTTTTCAAACACAACTCTGGGTTTGACCCACCTGGCTGCAATGAGGTCGAGGAGGTGCGTCCACCGCTCGCTGACTTTATTGAGTTTGTGTCGTATGTCGGCTGCTTTGCTGTCCTGGCTGGCCTGGGCCAAGCGCTGGCCCATGAGCTGCAGCTGCTGCTTGTTCTCCTGAGCGACACTGATTTCCTCCTGGTAGTCCTGAGAGAGAGCCGATGACAAGTTAAGACGTGAGGATGAGAAGGCGGAGGAGGATGCTGTTTGTGCTGTCGAGCGTGCGCCGGGATCACCTTGCGCAGCTTTTCGATCATCTCCTCAATGCTGATGTCTCCATTTTGAGAGACTTTGCTCTCCATCTGCGTGAGCCACTCGCACAGCTCCTTGTTCTTCTCGTTGAACACGGCCCATTCGTTCAACTTCTCGCTGACCTGCTGCCTGCGCAGCGAAACCTGACAACGCAATCCCGAAAAGACACGCGCATTGTTGTTGCAAGACGGGCTGAAGGGAGTAGTTTGTATTTAAATCTACAATAAAAGTGGTTTGACAAATCTGGTTGCAATGATGTCACCTCAAATTAACCTGCCTCCTGAATGACATGACAAAAACAAGTCAAAACTTCATCATTAACAAAGAAAAGATCGAAAAAAAAATATTATATAATTTAAAAAAATCTAACTATCCATCAATTTTTAACATCAATAATCAAATTATTTTGAATATTTGAATTATTTTTCAAAAACTATCTTTGACTCAACCAATACATAATATAAATAACTCATATGTATATTTTTAAAGCAATTTAATACACCAAAGAAAAATTTTAATTCATTTTGAAAATGGAATTAATTTATCTTATACTTAAATATATACCGGTAGCTTAAATATTTTTATAGCAATCAATTTAATTTAGTTAAAAAATACAGTCTATAGCGGGTACATATTTTTAAATAATGAGCCATTTAACTGAGAACAAAAAAGAAAAAATTGAATATTTGGCGAAAAGAGGTCAATTTAATAAGCAAGCGCATTCGAACTGTACCTGGTGGCACACTTCTTCCCACTGGCGCTGGAGAAGCTGGAGGCGCTCCTGGAGGAGCGTGATGTCATCGCTGCCGACCACGCCCACCAGGGCATCCCTCAGGAGGAACAAGGAAGTGAGGTCACCGCTCCAGCCTTCCACGGCGCTCTCCAGCTCCTGCGTGCACATGACATGGTGACGACAAGAAAAAGCCCACTTTTTGCCTTCGCCGCCAATGTCGGCCTGATATTAGCAATCAGAGGCGCTACACGGCACAGAAATTATCACAGAAGTGCCGTCACCTTGCATCCCCTCCGCTGCCTGCGTGACCGTGACACACAAATACATAAATGTATGCAAGCACGCACCCCCACTGGCTCTCTGCGATTGAACTCCCTCCTCCCTCCTTGACTCTCTTTCACCCTGTCTTTCTCTCCTTCGCTCTATGCACCTCCCCCGACAGACCGAGGACCGCATGCGCATTAATAATAACGGGATTCCGCAGCATCTCTCACCTTGCATCTCATCTGCTCGGCGTGCAGCTCATCGTGACGGTCGGGCAGCGGCGCCGACAGCTTCCTCTTGAAGGCCCGCAGCTTCTCCAGCGAGGCGTTGATGCCTTCCTCGCACCGCTCCCAATTCTATGCTCCGTAACAGTACATAAAAGAAACAAAAATGAGAGCGCAGAAGAGTCGCAGCGGGCAGGGAACGCCGCGCTCCAATGGGCGTGGGCTATTTTTAGAGCGAGGATAGCTCAGGGGTATCTGAGGATGAAACGGGATCGTATTTAACAAGGAATGTCGCAGGCAAGTAGAAGACAGTCAGCAGACACAACGTTCGGAAGGCAGTCTCGGATTATTTAGAGTCAGCTCAGAATATTGCTTCTTCTCATTACGACATTGCTTCCAATTTTGGCATTGACTGTTTGATCCAAATTGCAGGTTGTGATGATTTTTGCAGATTTTTGAACGGTACATGATTATGTGTATTTTTATTTTTCCCCATTAAAATGACCAGTTTTGAAGTCCCATATTTCAAATATCCTATTGTAAAAATGCACAAGTTGCTGACCTTGAGTAGAGCAAGCAGCTCCTTCCTCTGCTGGTCTAGGCGGTGGTGGGCGTGCCTCCACCTCTCCTGAATCTCCATCAGCTCCGTCTGTAGCGTGGACTCGGCCTGAGTGTCGGCCGACAGCAGTAAGCTTCTGCCGGCCTCCACCGTCACGATGTAGACTCCCTGCTGCCTCTTGAGTACACGCTCGCGCAGCTGCAGCAGCCGGGACAGGGAGAGTGGACCGAGGGGGTAGAGGTTAGCTAAGGGAGTCTACGGTCGGTTAGAGATGGGGTGGAGGTTTGGTAGTGAGGGAGGGCGGGGAGTCAGACTGGTTTAGTGCCTATAATTGTAACGTGTGGAATATGACACTTTTCTGTCCCAAAGCAGGGGAAAAGCATTCACACACACAGGACCTGCTGCATGTTACCAACGCATACCTGTATTTGATCCAGCAGATTCCTGGCCTGCTGCAGTGCGACACTTTCTCCTCCCGGGTGATGCGCGTCCAGCTCACGTGACACATCCTGGAGCCAGCGCAGCAGTTTTTCAAACATCTCGTGGTAGCTGTGCCACTGATGGAGCAGACTGTCAATGATGCCCCTGCGCTGCTGGGCACGCCTCACCACGCCTTGCCACTGATTGGCCAGCAAGGCCAGATTCACACTGAAGTCTTCTCTGTTGGGAGGATGAACACCGTACATTGCTGTGGTTATGATGATGAATTTGATCTTAAGTCCAATTATATTCGGTTTTAACAAAGCGGTGGTCTATTTCTACACACATACCCTCAATCGTTGCTTATGGGGTTTTTTTTTTTTTTTTGAAAGGCGCTAAATATATTTAAGCTATTATGATTATTATGATGATTATTACTATTTCACATGTCAGGTCATGTGCTTTTTCTGTCTACTTACCCATCATCCACTTGTCCTTGATCTAGCATATTATGCCCATCGCTGACAATGGAGTAAAGAATCTGCTGTTGGCTGAACATTTCAGCCTGGAACAACTGTAAACACACACATATATACAGAGTATGCCGAGATTCCTTCCTGCCTTTTATTGAGCACACACATACAGCAAACCTCAGTGCGTTTCTGACCTCGTGATCTTTCTGCTGCTCCAGCAGACTCTGGTAGTTGCCCGTTATCTCGACGGCCAGTTTGTTCTCCGCCTGAGACAGAAAGTCCATCCAGGCTTCGCACTTCTGCAGGAACGTCTGGTGCAGGAGCAGCGCTGCCTGCAGTTTACTGGAGTCACAACAGTGTTATTTCGTTTTCGTACCGGGGTAGAGCACGAAAGGACGGGGGGAGATGCGCGAGAGCAGAGTGACGTACCTGAACCTCTCGCTGAGGAGAGCAGAGTGAGACGCCCACGATCTGTTCAGACGCTGCAGACGCTTCAAGTCTCCGTCGCTAACCGGCAGTCGGTACATGAGGACATTGACACGCTCCAAGTCTGGAGACAGACTGCTTAGCTTGGACAAGGGAGCCTGCGAACAACAGCGCTTGCTCACTCGCATCCCAAATGAGGACAAGTGGACAAAACAAAAAAAAAAAAACGGAAGGGTAGGGCCACATGTCTTACCTTTAGTTTGTCCATCCGTGTTTGGATGTCACTCAGCGCCGGCGAGCCGAGCTGCTCGCACTCCTTCAACACTTTCGCAGCCTCAGCGTCTGTTTGAATGAGTGCGTCCAATTGGTCCCTGAAGCCCTCACAGGCCCGACTTCCACACTAGTCAACGACAAAAAAAAGCATCACGATGTGCACAAAGTTAAAGCTTCCCACTCACGCTCTACACACACATACAAATGGAACTAAGAAAAGTATCAAAAACACTTTTTTTTTTTAATTTGATGATAATAAATGTTAACTTTTACGGAAAATATTCAGATCAATTCTTTTGAAACGGGGTTGTCTTTTCCGATGTTAAAATGGAAATATCTTTTCATGACCCAAACACGTTTTCCTTTAAGGAAAGGTGGCATCAAGGTTAGGAGATCGCAGATCCCGAAGAGGCCCCAAGTCCTCGCTACGTACCTGCAGCGCCTCCTGCTGCCTGTGTAGGGAGAGCGGCAGCGTCGACAATCGATGCGTCAGCGACATGTGGTCCGAATGCAGGGCGGCAAACGAGTCGGCGTCCACTTGGCTCCTCAGCTGCTCTCCCAAATTTTGCAGCTGCAGCAGTAAACGCTGTACCGATTCCTGCTCACCGAGACACTCCTGTCATACCAATAAAAATCAATGGAAGACAATTCATTGTCTTTTTAGGAGCAAATAGGTAAACATCATCATTATTGTTGTGATCACTGGGTAGTAGTTGTATTTTCAGCTTATTTTGTTTGTGGGGGCTTTTGTGTGTGCGTATGTTTTTTGTGTGCCAGTCACTTTGTGGAGCGCTGGGATATGAGCTTTTTTTGAACAAAACATTTCCCGTTTAGTTGAAATTAACCAAAAGTTCTTACATCAGTAGCTATGGCATGCACTGCCAAGACAGTGATTTTTTTTCTCTTTTAATTCCGGAATTAAAAGAGTCTGGGAAGAGTTTAAGACGTGAAAGAAAAATCCTAAGCAAGGACCCGCAATGGCAGCAGGACACTGTTGTGAAAATCAGGGGCCAGTCTCTCTATTCTCTAAAGGCTTTTGTTGGACTGGACTGCGACTTTCCATTCAAGCACACTGAGAGGGAGGGATGCAATTTTGTATTCTGTGGGACGGGGGGCTCTTGTAATAAATCAGGAGAGTTTTGTCTGGATTCCTAGAAATCCAACAGTGCAGCCCCCTTATGCGTCGTGTACTCACGTCACAGCCCTTTATCCAGGCGCTGCTCTCCTCTTCTGTGATGTCCCTGTCGGTGGCGCTTTTGAGCAGGCGGTCCACACGTTCCTCCTGCCTCTCCACGGCTTTCACACAAGTGCCAAATAATTCTGTGTATTGCTGCCACAGCCCCAGCAAGGCCTTACTGCTCCTCAGCTGCTCCGAGATCTGCTCTAATAGATCGTTCCACCTGAGAAAACAATGTCTTCATTAAGGATTTCACCTCCAATTGGGAGTTTTATTATTTTTTTTTTTTGCTGTGTTACCTCATGTTGACATCCCGCTGGGCTCGAGTGAGTGTTTCCGCCACACACGGGTGGCATTCGGTGAGGAGCTGTTGGGTTACGGAGCCAAACTTGAGTAGACTGCTCTCCTGCTTGTCCATCTCCTCTTGCAGGTTCTGGGTGGCACATAAAACACATCCCTAGCGACTTCCCCATCTTGTGCCACTTCCTTAAACAGCTCAAATTCATGACTTCATTCACAAGGTGGTGCGCGCCCGTTTGTGCGGCACTCACCTCCAGACTCTCCACCTGCTGGTGCACAGCCTCCAGGGAGCCACTTATGAGGGGCAGTCGGGAGACACAGTACCTGCCCTCCATCAGGTAGCCATCTATCTCTTCTGCGACACGCCTGTATAAGGTCCATTTTTCCAAGACCGAACGCAGGCTCACCTTCATCTGATTTATCTGTGACAGCAACCCTTGGATTATAGCCCAGCAAGACATCATGTCGGTAATTTGTTGATGGATGAGTTTACCATGTGGTCCAAATGAGCCCAGGATTTCTTGAGACCTTTGAGGGTCTCCTTGACAACAGCGCACGCTTCTCCTTTCTTATCCTGGATGAGAGCGTTGCCTCGTTCCTCGGCCTTCTCCAGATCCTTCTCTTTCTCCTTCACCAGTTCCTCCAACTCCTGGAAGAATGACAACATAATGACAGTAACTTCGTGTGCTTTTGTGCCTGCTGGAGGTAATAAAAAAAAAAAAAAAGTGCCGCGTTGATAAAACTACCTGGCAATCTTTCAGTGCATTCTGCACAGATGCGACATCCTCTATCCTGTGTCTCTTCTTCAGTTTCTCCTCCTGGAGTGTCAGCCATGTTTTCAAGGCTTGGACTCCATTCTCGTGCTCGAGCCAACTTCCCAAAAGTCCTTCTAAATGCCGAATCTGAAAAAAAAAATAGACACAATTCAGTGCCATGTCAGTGCAGTTGACAGACATGGAAAAGGATGAGTTACCTTTTCTGTGATGAGCCCCTGTAGTATCTGCCAACGTCTGTTCATAGCTCCAAGGCTCTCGGCAAAGTCGGTTTTGTCGCTGCGCTTTGCCTCCACGTCCTGACTGCTGATCTGCAATACCGACTGATTGACAAAGTCCACAGTCAGCTGTTTGCAGGTCAGGTCGATGCGGAACCCCTGTGAAGAGAAGAGGGTGCTGGCAATTTTCATTTTGTACATTGATACATAATTTGGAAAACAAAATAAAAACAACACGGAAAACAATGACCTGACGTAGTCTTTGATAACTGAATGTGTTTTCCTTTTTACCTTGTACTTTTGCAAGAAGTTCTGGACCACCTCTGAGCCCACAGCCCCGGCGATTTGGTCCTGGTCTTCGTTAATGATGTTCTCCATGAGCGTGATCCAGCTGATGAGCTCGGCGATGGCGTGTCGTGACGCCAGCTTCTCCATTTGCAGCTGAGGGACAAAAGGTTAAATGCTTACGACCGCATCGGAAGCAGACAAAGGAGCATCTATCGCCTTCTCTCACGGACCTGATGGAGCTTCTCTTGGACGACGGGAATGCGAGTGAGCAGCTCGGCCCACTGAGTGTCGACGTGGCCCAGGGCTGTCCTCAGAGTAGCCGTGTCCACCCGCTTCAGTCTCAGCAGCTGGTTGCCCGTGCTCAGGACGGAGGAACGCAATGACGACTTGGCATCCACCTCCTTGGAAAACTCCTGCAAGAAGACCGAGTGACTCTTGAGTCATCTCTGAAGTTATCCATTTCTGACATTTTGGACTTGATCACAAACTTCCATCAAAATACAAAAAATGTGAACATCCCACAAGAGCGAACATCAGAACATACCAGAAAGGCACAAAGGTGATCCCTGACAGTCTCGAGTTCCTGAGGCACGGTGACCGACTGCGCGGTCCAAAATTCAAGTCTTTCCAGAGCCAACTGCAACCAGTGGCTTAATTCTGCAGACTCTCTTTGGTACCTAGTAAATGCCAAACATGATTCAACCACAAACATGAACGCAATAGAACAAATACTTATGAAACTTCACATTCAAGTGGGGGCAGAATAGAAAGAAAATGAATCGGAAAAACCTCCATATGAGCCGCACACAAAAAAAATCCAAAACAACGTTATCAAGGGTTACGTTTTCCTAAGTCCGACCTGCTCCAGTGTTTGAGGGTGGAGTCGAAGCGGTGCAGCTCCTTGTTCACTTTGGTCGTGGACAACAGCCAGTGTTCCCCCAACTGAGTCAGCTGGCGGTCCAAGTCTAAACAGCTGACAGACAGAAGCAGCCTCTTGCCTTCCTCCAGTACCTGATACAGTTGGGGCTGATGCTCGGTCAGACTGGCCTTCAAACGCTGAAACGCAACAGGTAGTTAGTGTCATGCTTCTGGAGCTTGATGGTTTAAGAGCAATGGCCAGATATTTTTGTCCCCGTCAAGTGTTGAGTCTTACCTGGTAGAGACCGATCCTCTCAAAGAGTCTCTCCTCGGTCTCCTCCACCAAGCCTGCCGTGGGGATGCTGCACTCGATGGCCTCCAGCTGTCTACACAGAGCCTGGTAGTCTTCCACAAGCCTGCTCCATGACTGGCGGTGACGACAAGTGTCATCAACACTCTGCTCTCTTCAATGAAGTAAATGTGTTTTGAAAGCGCTGCTCATGCTCACCTCCAGAATGCCCTCCAGCTCCACCCCCCTCCTGTGGGCCTGTTTGAGGACACTCTGAGCTAAAGACATGGTCTCCTCAAGCGCCTGGCTTTCTCGGGGCGCCACCAAGCCAGACACTTTGCGGTAGAAGGTCTGAGTGAGGATCATGTGGCATTCAAGAGACTGGAAGAACTCCTGAAGTGGAGGGGGGAAAGGAAACATAATGATGCAGCAGGGCTTCTACTTTAAACTGCAACCCGAGCTCATTTGTCCATTTTAAAAATCAAACGTGGATTGATTGAATGTTTTGAAAAAAGAATGACACCTTACTTTGTGTTTATCCAGTAACATTTGGACCTCGGTGACCGAGGCGACTGTCATTTTCTGGTCGGCGGCAATCTTGTCCTGGGCCGTGTCCACCAGGTCTGTGAGGTCTCGGAGCGCCGCCTCGTACTGAGCCTTGAGGGAGAGGGCTCGGTTCAGGCCGCTACCTCTGGAGCCCACCATCAGCAGCAGCTCTTCATATGCGTCCTGCACAACAAATGTCCACCATGTTACCGGTGCCGTCCGAGAATGTAAGCTAGTCTGTTTGTTTTTTCTGTTTTTCTTCTTCTTCTTTACCTGTAGTTTGAGGAGTTCCTGATGGGAGAGTCGGTCAGATTGGAGCCCTTCAGCTTTGGTCTTCAGCTCGGTCACTCTCTGCTCAAACTCCTTCAAACTGTCCTCCACCTCTGATAAAGTCTGCAAAGCACACCAGAGCGCCGAGAATTTGATCAAGAGTCCTGATATATTTGAATAACTTTGTTCATTAAATGAATTGGTTCATTAAAATGTATTAATTCATTGGTTTAAATTATTTCTTTACATTCGTGGATTTATTGTAAATAATAAACTCAAAATATATTAAATAATACAAATATGATATTTTGTCATTTCATGTGGGTGGCGCATGGAGTCGAAGTTTGATCATTTCCATCATTCGCCATGGTTGCCGTTTCCGGCTACAGTTCATTCGACTTTGAATCTTTTTCTGTGCATGTTGGCATCCAACCTCGATCTGCTTGGCCGCAGGTCTGTCCACCGTGGCGGCTATCTTCTGGAGCAGCAGGTGTTTACTCTCGCTCAAAGCTGTGAACAGCATTCGGAGTTCATTCTGGCACAAAGACAGCAAGTGGTGTTGACATTAAAAAGGGCATGTTTACTGTCCATAATGAGGAAAAAATAAAATAAAAAGCACACCATCAGGACTTTATTATGAGAATGTTACCTGGAAGTTTAAGTGCTCCTGGAGTCTGTCCCTCATGGTGTCGCATTGCTGTTCAAGGGTGGAGTCCAGCAAGCCCATCCTCTCCTGCAGACCTTCCAGGGTGTCCTCCATCAAGGCTCGCTCCTCCCCTCCGCACAGCCGCCCCGCCACTCCACCCATTAGATCTCTGCACTGGTTCACCTCTCTGCTCATGTCCTTCAGGTGTTTACTGGTGCACTGTACGGATGAACCGATAACAACGTGATTGAATTTGCTCACTGTGAATCACCGGTCACGTTTCTTACCTCTAAATGTGTGAGCTGTGTCTCCGTGTCTTCAGACAACAGCACGGGGCCCGAGAGCATCTCGTTCTCAGCGGCGTCCAACCAGGCGGAGGCGGCCGACGCTGCGGTATACAGATTCTGTTGGAGAGCCATCTCACATGAGGAGAGCGCCATCTTCTGCTCGCCGCTTTCTGCCTGCAAAGAGGAGCAAGGGGTGTTGACGCAGCGACGCAAGAAGCAGTATTAAGTGGTTTAAAAGAGATCGGTTGACCTCTTTGGTGATTCTTTCTAGAGCTTGGCTGCAGGCCTCAAATAAAGCTGTCGGCGAGCGAGAGTCCTGGCTGGTGGACTCGCCTCTGAACACCAGGCTGGGACTGGTCAGACGGGACCGGTGGATGATCTGCACACACACAGTTGGCATGAGCGACGACTCCTGAAAATTACATACATGTTCAATGGAATGCGAGGAGATCGTACCGGGCTAAATTGATCCTGTTCCAATGTGTTGAGCGAGAGCTGCAGCTTTGTGCTCTGGTCTTTGTTCAGGTTCTCCCAACGTTGTCTCGAGCGGTCTCCGTGAGACAAGCTCTCTGTATCCAGCAACACTCCCACAGGAAGAGAAACCTCACTGAAGAAAGAAGGAGCGAAAAGGAAATAAATACCAAATCAATAATAAAGAGATGCAACATAAAAAAAGAATCGTCATTGTGAGAACGTACCTATCCCCATTGGATGTGATCTGTTGATTGCGTAAGTCTTCGCCAACACTGGCGACTGACTCAAGCAACCTCCTCTGCTCTGCTACATGCTGCTGCAGCTCCTAAAAACAAAAGGAAATGTGATTTTTGTGTGTTTCAAATATGTTTAGAATGTGAAGTGTTAGTCTGGGTGACATGTAAACTTAAAAGTCCGTTATCCCCCTCACCCTCTGTTGGAGAAGGTTGTCATGATGCTGCTGGGTGCGCGAAGAGCGAGCCTGGGACAGCCAATCCTGCACGTTGGGGCTCTGCGAAAGCGACGAGTCCGGCTCGCTGTCATCCTGCTCCTGCAATGAACCCTGGTGGGGGCGGGGTTAAAAAAAAAAAAAAAATATATATATATATATATATATATATATATATATATATTACTTCAAGTGAATTTAATTGTGCGCAATTGTAAGTCGTGTTTAACACTATTATAAAAAAAAAATCATAATTAAAAATAAATAAAATAGTTGTCAAACTGGTGAGAAAAGTATTGCCTACTTCACTCTTAAATCGGACCGACTCAGCGTTTACGAGGTAGAATCGGATCGGACGAGAAAAATGATTGGTCATGCAGACATTTCTCGGAAAAACCTCAAAACAGAGCATTCACTCACCTGTATGTCCACCTGTTTATCCTGCAGCATCTGTTGGAGCTCCAGCAGGCTGTCTTTCAAGGAGTGGAGCTTGACGGTGAGCTGCTCCGCCTCGCTCTTGGTCTCGGCTCGGCCCTCCAGGAGCAAGCTCTCGCTGTGCACCGACAACTCGGAGAGATACGACACCTTCTGCTCGATCTCCAACAGCATGTTCTGCAAAACAGACAAAGGAGAACGGTTTTCTTCAACATCCCATTTAGGTTCGATTAAAATCTATGGAAAAGAGGATTAAATTAAAAGACCCCTCCTGATGTGAGATTGGGTTAGAATTGAACAAAGCCATCAAAAGAGAAGGATTAGTGTTGGTGCGTGGCTTTCAAGGGCCCCCTGGCTGAGATTGTAGCATTCCTAGACAACACAAAGTGTCTCCATTCAAATGCTTCCCTCTGACCTTCTGCCAATCTGACAAGACCGAGAGACTTGCAACGCGCTCTTTGTGCAAAAAGCCTTCCAAACAATTTAAATGGAAAATCTGAGGCGCGAAGCTTCATTTGCACTGAACCCCCCCAGCCCAAATGTGATCTCTTAGTCTGACACAAACTAGTGAAGTGGTGGACAACAACGGAATGCGGCTCGCGCTGAGGTGGTTAAAAACTACTTGAAACAACCGCACACCAAAATGAGATTTCAAATGCGGATTTTCTTATCTCATTAAAGTACAGTTAACCATGTGCATGGTGGTCTGCGCTAATAATCTATGGTTTTAGCCAAGGTGCCCCACTAAGGAGATGAGGGGCTACATGGGGGGTGTACAGGAGCCATATGTGAGTTATAATCAGCTTATTTAACCTCCGTTGACTTCGAAAAAGAGAAAAACACACACACACACACACACACACACACACACACACACACACACACACACACACACACACACACACACACACACACACACATTCCATTATTATTGTGGAAAGAACAATTACGATGCATTACAGGGCCAATTTTGTCACCCTACTATTAGCTGGTCAAATATTAACTCCCGTTGCGGCCCGTTACCATAGAAACAGTAAGAGCACGTTGCTGTAAAAGAATGTTGGCTGGCTGTGAGACCATACATCGAGATTAAACGACTCTGACCTCATTTCGGTCATCTCCAGTCCAACAAGCAATGCCGCCAGTACGTCACCTGGCAGTCAATGAGCTGCTCCTCCATGTCGAGGTCTTCGCTTTGAAGGTGAAGCGCCGAGCTGAGGGTGGCGCGGGTGCTGAGCAGCCAGTGGTCCAGCTCCTCGGCCTCGCTGTGGAACCGCTGCAACGCCTGCTCCTGACGCTGCTCCTCCAGCTGCTCGCTGAGCTTCTCCTGCGAGGAAAATGCGTGTCGTATCACACCATTTGAATATGATATTGGAATCGTGAGAAATAAAATTGTCACCAGGACATGCATATATTTAGCGGCTCACCTCCAACAGTTGCCGTTTCCCGGAGGCCTTCATCCTGATGGTGGCCATTCTCTCTCCCAGCACGGTAAGGGTGGACCGCAGTGCCAGCTGGTGGGCGGGCTCGCCGTTGCCGTCCGCCAGCTCCTCTGAGAAGCACGTCTGCAGCTCGCCAATCTCGTCCTGCAGCATCAGGATCTCGTCCATCAGAGCCTGGTTGAGAGGAGGAACGTGGGAGACGTTTTATGGATGCAAAATTAAGCAGCAGAAATGACCACTGTTCGTTCTGTCTTGCTGATGGATGGATGGATGGATGGATGGAGCTGTCGTCTCTCACCTGATGTGTCGCCATCTGGCTCTCGGGGCTCTTGCTGGGCTCCAGGCCTTCGCCGAGCGCCGCCTCGATAGACTCCATCTTGGTGGAAATGGACTGCAGAGACTCCTGGTAGTGCTGCTGTCGCTCCAGGGCTTCATACAGACTCTTTTGCTTCTCGCTTATCTGGGGCGCGGCAAAAGAACGTGAAAAACGCCGTATATGCGCAACTTCTTTTCAAATCAGGTCGACGTCACCCTACCACATTCTTGAGAGTTTCCCAGGATCTCTGGAGGTCATCCAGGTTGGCGGTCCCGGTTTCCAAAGATGGGTCGTAGAGCTCCTGGAGGGCAGTTCGACTCAGACCACCTCGACCCTGTTACATGACGGCACGGTAAGTGTGTGGGGAGTGTGGAAATATATTGAATGGAAATAAATTTAAAAAAGGATTTTAAATTCAAATTTTAAGGTAAAAAAATGTGTAAATAAGGCTACAGATTAACTTTCTTTGCTCACCCCTGACGTAAGAGAGACATCTCAACTCAATAAGAAGTAATATTTTCGTCTCAGCAAATGCTAATCGCAGTACTGGCGTTGTTTTCACTTTAGTAGCATCTGACCGAGGTCTGATGCGAATAGTTTGCGCATTTTTTTTTCCAAATACAGCACACTTGAGTTTGACCTTGCTGACAGGGTTGAAAGGCTTCGGTCACATCAGTGGATCACATATGCCACGCCAACCAGATGATGTGTGTTAAATATAAAAATTATTTAAAAAAAATTGTGATGCTGATAAGACTTCTGGTGTTAAAATCTTGATTCTTCAAGAGCAAAGTGGTGTGTAGTACAGATTAAAAGAATATGGAGGGTGATGATGTGAATAGCTGGCAGGCCAAGCAGGGTGCAGCGGGTATCCACGGGGGGTGGGAGGGAGGGAAGGGGGATTTGCGGATGCGGATGGGCAGTACCTGGTTAGGAGGAGCATCGGCGTTAGCCCCAGGGGAGGGGGAGCGGCAAGCAGGGGGAGAGGAGACCTCGCTGTTGGTGCCCTCCTCCCCTGACTCCTCGGTCACAGGGGAGAGGAGCGTGTGGCAGCGGCCTGCCGTCATCTGACCACACCAAAAGAAGCGGGAGGAGTTGGGGAATAAAATGGGAAACATAGGACAGGAGAAGGCCAATTGAAAAGAGTGAGACAAAAGAAAAAAAAGGAAAGCAAGTGCGAGAATAAGCTTCAAACTCAAAGCGGGAGTGCAGGTAGAACAGGTTGCAGCGGGGACATTGTTTGATAATTGTACGGGGAACAATCAAAAAAAAATCCCAGCAGTCTGTGTTGCTGCCCAACAGCAGCCAAGACACACACATTGCAGCAGCTCTTGTAACGGATCTCATTGTCAAAGGCTGGCGGCATGATTCCTCCCCTTAGCAATTTGTCGTCAACAATATGCTTCCACTTTTCAAATGTCATGCAAATCAGCAGTCCCCGTTGGTAAATATGATGCATGTTGGTTGGCATTACACTCGTGGTTAAAACAGGCACAGTTATGTGGTCGTTCAGATACACAGCTGTAGTTGTATGCTTACTTTTACAGGCAACTTCAGGTCAAAGCTCCATTTTTTCAAAGAACGGTCTCTCAAGTCAACATTTGCTGTATTGCTTGAGGTGAAATCAGTCCATGGCGCAAAAATGGTTGCAGAATGCTGCTCTAAAAAATATAAACTCAATAACTAAGACATGCGATGCAATCCAAAAGACGTGACACATGAACTACAAATCACAAAATACATCAAGTGAAAGGAAAGGAGAGTCCCAGTTGTCTGCATGCACGCTTAAGTAGCGACACAAAAGTCAAGCATGAGCTGAGGCCTAACTGCGCTGTTTTTTGGCAGTTCACAACTTTGCTAAACTCATTTGGGGGGGCCATGTTCAAATACGCGGGACGCTTTCCCGGGCTTGATGATGCAATGCGGCGCAATGGAGGCCATCGGCATGCAAAGTTTGTTCTTAGCTACGTGGACACTAGGTCAACAAAGAAGATGATCCTGAAGACTAGAGTCACTGAACTATCATGCTGGTGTGCTCGCTTACAGGCACACGCACACGCACACACACACACACACAGTGATATCCTGTTTCCTGGCACAACACAGAGCAGACAGCAGTGACAAGGCCACGGAATGCGAGATGTATACGGTGGTATGAGATTTCCAAACACAGCAGGCTAATGAATGAAAGAGCAAAAAAGTGCACACGCAGGCAGGAGCACACACACACACACACACACACACACACACACACACGCGCACACACACACACACACACACAGACATACACGCACAAAGGCACACAGGAAAAGAAGAAAATCTCTATTTGATGTATGACTCAAGAGTTTCCATACTGCAGTGGAAAAGGGATTGGCTGAATAAATATATTGTATAAATTAACTATAGAATTAAATGGGAATAAATCAAAATATGTATCTGTCATATGTAACTTTATTGTTATATTTTATAATATATTACAGTATATCATACATCATTTATTTATTTATGCCCATAGAAGACAAAAGTGGAAAAAAAGAATGTATTTTCATTTCAAAATTGTTTAATGATGATTGACAAAATATTTTTTTGAATAATTTTACTACATACAAGTGAAAAAGACATGAAAATTTTTACTTTGTATTCACGGAAATGATTGTAAAAAAAGGGGAAAAAATTGGGCAGACCTCTTTTTATTTTTGTATGTTTCATTATGAATTCAAATATAAAGCTAAACAAGAATAACGGGTAAATAAATAGAGGTAACTGGTAAAATGTTTGTCGTCGACTAGAGGGCTACATTTGAGGAACAACACACCATTTTTAATTACGTTTCTGTTGTAGAAGATGCCGTCACACACACAGAAACACACACATACAGACACACACACACACCCAAGATGTGTGAGGGACCTCTGCCACTCACCATGACGACCGAGGGGTGCGCAGGAAGCTCCTTGTCGCCGGCTCCTCCGGCGCCGGGCATGTCGTCGTCACTCAGCTCGTCGGAGAGGCCGTCCGCCTCGCTGACCGTCAGCAGCATGGTGGCATGCTTGGCCTTCACCGTTAGCATCTTGCACTTGGAATGGAGAGAGGCGATCTGCTCCTGGTAGCCGTGGATCTTCTGGGCCAGCTCCTGTCATAACATACCCACGGCAACAGAGAAGCCACCCCCCCGGGGGGGGTCAGCTACTTCCTGGTTCACAAGGCAAATCTTTGCGAGTTGTCCGCACGCTGAATGAGACGCCGGCGTGCGCGGAGCAAACGGAGCATTCTCCTCCCTTTCCCAACCTCTGCTTTTTGGAGCGTTCGCATGGAAAGACAACAGCTCTGGCTCTGCTCTCTCTCCTCTGTATCTCTGAGCCAATCAGAGCAGAGAGCAGGCGTGTGATTCGGAGGCGGCGGTCGGGCTAACAGGAAGGATTTGGGCTTGGGAGAGACGGCGAGAGAGAGCGAACCAAATTCAAAAATTCCTTCAAACCTCCGAAAAAAAGTACAGGGGGAAAACAGGAAGTGATGTCACCGTCTGCCTACCCCCTTTCTTCCCTTCTCTGCCAATCCCCAAGGCAGATTCCTTCTGACAAAAGGGAGCAGGCGAAGAGAGGAGTGTTTGGAGGAGTGACAGAGATGGTGTCAGGTTTCAGCTGTGGTATGAGTGTGAATGGCGGCCAAGCCCCCACCTCCTCTTCTTACTCGACCCCGAGCGCCGCAGATGGTCAACTCACATATAATCAGGTCACGTGACTAACTAGGCCAGCGGTCGATGCGAGGCGCTCGGCTTAAGAGGCCAACCGCAGGCATCAGAGCGCCGCGGTGATGGGAGGAGGTTTCAGTCGCCGGGGAAGCGAGGCAAGGCAAAAAGGCTGAAAATAACATCAAATCAAAACGCGCGCTTCCAGGAATGGGAGCTTGTTTCTCTGCGCGCCCGCCTTACGTTTTGAGTTCCCGCAGTGGGAGGGGGTGGGTGGGGGAGCAAACCGCAGCGTCATTTCTCTGGAGCACAAAGTTGGGCTCCAATACCGCAGTTGAATTGAAGCATTTGAAACACTGCGACGAACAGGAGTCTGCAGTATCAGATAAAGTCAAAATATCCGCGGGCTGGCTTGATCAAGGCACACATTACTTTTTTTTCATTGCAGACACGGCATGTTGCAAGAGTATGTATATCCTGTTAATTTTTAGCGTGGGTAAAGTATGACTAAATTCTTCAGGCGGCGAGTCTAACCATTCATCCACCTTGCTAACCAAAATAAAGACCAGACTGTGCAAGTATGGCGACTGTTTCTATGCACAGCCTATTTCCTGTATACATATGCTGACAAAATAGTGCAGGAAATCCACTTCCTGTTGATCTCCTTTTTGAGGTTGCAGACTGAGAAAAATCACAACCATAATTCATCTTGTGAAGCCCAGCTGTATAAAAATCCGCCTCATCATACAATGCAGTCTCGCCGCCTCGCTTCGGCGAATTTTCTCCTGGTTCTTCAACTTCTTCCCGCATTTGCGAAAACGTGCATTACATGCTTGCGTGACACAAAGTCACAAACTCACCTCATGATGGTGGATCTGTGCCTGAAGTTCTTGAATGTTGCTGGTGCAGACGGGCCGGTCCTGAATAATCCGGTGGGCGTCTTCTATTAACCTCTGCAGGTTCTTCACCTCCAGCTCATACTGCTCATACTGCACCACAGCCTCCTGGACAACAGCACATGATATCGATTGTTGATTTACGTACGCGCGCTCTATCACTCTAAATTGTTTGTGACGCTGGAGTTATTTGTCCTCTCCAGTCTCCAAGGACCCTTCCTCTAATGACTAAGCTTCACGACAATGAGCTTAAAGGTAAATCAGCCCAGAAGCAAGGGGATTGGAGGGTAATACCACTATGAGGGAGCTCAAAAGAAGAAGACAGATATTCCTGACATAGACCTTAGTGAGACAACAGTCTAATAATAATAATCACAGTCATATCTTAGATTCACATTGCGTCTCTCAAGGGTCACACAGACACTTTTCGATCAAATATTCTGAGTGCAACTTCTGTTTGCAGAAAGGATCCATTTTACAAATTTTTCTGCAGGCACACATTTATCGTAATCATGATATGTTAGGACAGGTCAGTGATTGATAAAGAATACACTGCACTCTTGACTTGACGTACAAATTTGGGTTCTGGCTTCAATTGAGGGTCTTTCTTCGTGTTTAATTCTTTTTACTGAAAATACAAACTCAACATGCCCACTGAGTGGCCTTTACCTGCAGGATGTTGCACTGCTGGATGGTGGTGTGCTGCAGCTGGCTGGTTTCCTGCTGCAGGCTCTGCGCTGCGCGGCAGACGGCCAGACCGGCTACCACCTCCTCTGGAAGTCGGAGGGCGCTCTGGCACCGTTGCACGGCCGTCACCTGCCGCTTGAAGCCGTCCATCTCGGCCAGTAAACGCTGAAGGGGAGGAGGAGTCGGGCGAGTATTTATTAAACAAGAACCCACACATGTGTCGCCGCTTGTCGTCTTTACTTGTCTCTGTGTGAGTTGCTCTCTCAGGCTGAGCCGGTTGAGATCGGGGGAGGCCAGGGTGACTTGGACCTGGTCCACCGTGGCGTGGAGACTCTTCACCTCGGCTTCCAAGTGCGATATGTCCTGTGGAAACCAATGGAATGATAGCCAATTTGGACGCCATCAGAAGCAGGACATAAATAGAGGAACAACTGTGTCATGTTGGTACAACTACAAATTAAAGTCTTGACAGAAACCAATGAGTAGCTTTGCCTGGCATTTGGAAGACATAACCTGTGTGTCTAAAATCGGTGTTTCGCAGGGGTCAAATGACTGGACCTGAACAGCTGCGCAGCCCAAAGACAGCCAATTTACCAGTGAGGCTCAAGGGGTGAGAGGTTTCTGTCTGCCACCGATCATAGAAAGGAGAAAATGGAAAAGAGATCATGTGGTCTGATGAGTCCAGATTGACCCTGTTCCAGAGTGATGGGCCCATCAGCGAAAGACGTAATCCAGATGTCATGCTTGTTTCCCAACAAGCCTGCAGGGGGCAGTGCTTGCTCAATCAGCCAGGTTTCTCAATTCAAAAACATTAATGAGTCTCCCCCGACCCTCAAAATTAGGTCAACTGACAACATGGATGTAATGAATGAGCATCAATGGAATATTTTTCTATCCTAATGGCACTGACATTTTCACAAATGCCGTCGAACGCTGAACGAGCTGCTCAGGGATTGTGAGAAAAACTATTTGCACATGGATGGCGATCTTTACACTCTTTGCAATTTCAGCTGCTGTATTTAAATCAATTGAGTTTGTGACAAAATTGCATTTTATTGAGACACACAAATGTCTATTATTAATTGTGTTTGAAAAATACGTTATTGCTCATTCTTAATGCGTCTCAAAAGAAATGTTATTGTGAGGCAAAGGTGGCTCGTGTGCATGTCTGCAGTCTCATTACAAAACCAACATGCCACGAGCAAATGTAAACAGTCGCTTGTACGGATGACAGGTTTGTGGGACATGACTCACCGCCAGCAGGGTTCGACATATGACTGCAGTCAATCATGTGGATGCAGTACCTACACGCGCCACATGGAGGCACTGTTGATATGTAGCTCTGTTCTCAATCAGTTTGTGGCAATTTGTGTAAAAGCAAGAGAAAAACTGCCAATCAATTTTTGCTGTGTTGACTGAACTTTCGTGAAAGATAAATTTTCCCTATTCACACGATGCAGCATGTGGTGAAGCGTGCTATCAAGGGTGCTATCACAATCCTGTCAGCCTGGTGGTGGTGGTGACCATTCCTTTACCTTCACAGCATCCTGAAGATTCTGCAGGCGAGTCTTAACCGCCAGCTGCAGCTCCTCTGTGCGTGCACTGAGCTGCTTCACCTGCTGACTCCACCCTTTGGTCGCCAGCACATCCCCCAATTGCGCCTCCCACTCTGCCAGGGCCTCCAGGTCGCCATGGAGACCGCGACACTCCCTCAGCAACACCTATCACCCGCAGAAGCGTAAATTACATGAGAGAATGGGAGGAGACTTCTCGGGCTGTCAAATGGCACTAATTAAGGGTGCTGAACGCTGTTCAAGCTGACATTCAGCAAGAAATGAGAGTCAGGGACTCCAATTAGCTGCACATATGTCTGTTGTTTGTTTTGGCAAAGTGATTAGGGGTTTCAGAAACGGAATGCATTTCAAACATTCATATACTGGGATTTTTTTGGAAACAGATGAAAAAAGCAATTACAAAATATAATTGAAAGTTTTTTTTTAATTGGCAAAATATAATAAAGCTGTAAAGGCATCCAGTAAAAATAATTAAGACTTACCTGATATGCTCGAATTTGCTCTTGTAGCTGCGATATTGGACTCCAGACAACGCTACCAGAGAGGAGAGACTCCGCTTTTTCCACCCAACTCAAAATAAATTCCTTCACGCTTTGATAGTCTGCCAGCTGCTTCTCTGCCTGCTCGGGGTTATAAGGACAAGACGGAGGAGAATGTACAGTAGGATTAATTCAAATTAAGACATCAAAATAAGAATAATCTTGACAGGAAAAGTGTGCGAAAACAAAGAAGAAATTTGAACTGCAACGATGCGTGGAGATTACTGTGGTTGGAGTCACTCTTGTTGCAGACACCCCCTCATATTCAAGGTTCAGCATTCACAAATTCCCACATTGGCTAATTTATTTTGCAATTTATCCTCCATTTATCACTGAGACATTCCGCCATTCGCTGCGTTAATTTGGCGCCATCTGGTGGTACTTCGGTGTTATTGCTCGGTTTAAGTCAGTCATCACATTGTGTTGGGTCGTCATTGAAAAGATTTCTAGCACTGACCCTTTTTAGTCTGTTGCTTCTGTCCTGGACCTGCTGCGTGACATGACGCTGTGCTTCGGCCATTTTGGCCACGACGTCACCCAGCTGCTTGCACAGCAGGGGATTCTGCTCGCCGAACTCCTGCACGGCAACCGCTAGCTCGGCCAAGGTGTGAGCGCAACACTCGCACTCCTCACGGAGAATCTGCGGATGGAAAGGGGATTTGTGATGCCCTCACGGGAAGAGGTGAATTTGAGAATTGTGAAGCACAAATATATGGGTGGTGGGGGGGCGGGGGTTACAACAAAGTGGATTCCATTTGAAGGCAGAGTCCACTTTGTGCCAACTTTTGACACTCATTAACCTTAACATCTGCCCAATAGAAAGCTAATTTAACAGGGGTTAATGAGTTGCTAATTATTCAATCGGTCAGGTTGATTACCCTGTTCTCCTCTTTGGCCTCCTCCAGACTGGCGCCCTTGATTTCAAACCTCAACGTGATGCTCTTCAGCTTGCTCTCCATGTCCTTCAGTCTGCAGCTGAAGTCCTCCTTCACGTCTCGCGTCTGCTGCACCTCCCGTTCTCTGGCTTGGACCTGGAGCACCAGGATAGAAGGTAAACTACTGCAGCGAATATTCCAGTATTACGTGTGGCCCGGTCGAGATGCTCACCTGGTCTTCAGCGGAGCCCAGAGCCAGGGTCACCTCAGCCAGCTGCATGCTGAGCTCCGACGGGAGACCGGCCTGCAAGTCGTGGTACTTGGACTGCTGCATCTCCGTCATGCGCTCCACGCTCTGACGTCTGCTGATGACCCCGCCGTGAGCGGTCTGCGACGTCGCAAAAAAATAAAAATAAAAATGGGTGTGAAACACATTGCTTCCTGACGATATTGTGTGTGCATGCTTGGACAATTGGACAGCACCTCCAGCTCTTGTAACAGCGTGTCGAGGTCCGCGGTGGGGCTCAGGAGCAAGCCTCGAGTGTCTTGAATCCAATCTTTGACCGAGCTGAGCTCCCTCTCCACCTCTTCTCTTTCTCTCAACTCCTGTTGCACCTGCACCCTGCTGCCCCGAACCTGAGACACGAGGCTTGAAAAGACAAAAGAGGGGACACCATTTTCAAGTCAAACGAAGTTCATTTGCATCCATGAATAAATAATAAAAATAAGAATTATGTGCGCCATCTATGCCTGGGATACGAATCCATTTCAAAGCAACACCCACCTTTCATACTGTTCTTGTAAGCATTTGATCTCTCGCATGCACTGTGATTCCTGGTGGCCATTCTCAATCTTCCTCTGCAATGCTACTTCCTGATCCTCATCTCCTCTCAGGCGGTGGATGTGCTGAGCGAGCAGAGCCAGGATCGACTGCTCCCTTTCCACCTCCAAGACGAAAGAGTCATGGTACTCCAGGAGGGTCTGGAGCGCCGCCCTGGTGGCCGCCTTCTCCACGGTGCTGTCGGGGATGCGGCGGCGGAGGTCCATCGAGACAGAGCGGACTTTGTCCATCTGAGGACCATGTAAAACAGATGTCAAACTTAACGTCCATGCTCTCATTTCTTTTTCATGTTCAGTAAAAATTTAACGGTGCAAATCAAGCCAGGCAAAACGAGTGAATACAATTGTGATATGATGTTAGATGGGAAGTTCAGTTCACAATTCTGTGAAGAAAAGTGGGGCAAAAATCCTCCCGTGGGATGTGAGAGACTCATCACAAGTCAATGCAATCGCTTGATTTCAGTTAGTGCTGTCGAGTGTGGCACACGCGGTTGATAGTGGGAAGTTCACAGCTTGGACTCGGTGCATGGAATGACATCATGACTATTTCAACAAAGAGCTCATAGACAAGCGAGGGACAACAGAAAAGTGCCACATGTCAGGAAGGAGCTGTCCCCCCTCATTTTGACCTCATTTCCCTTTTAGGCCGCGGGGCTTTGTGGGAATTCTTGACGGCTGACATGTTCACGTTCAAAAGGGAGGCCGCGTGATATGCGTTGGAAACGACTGGCCCGGAGCCTGGAGTTACATCACAGACCAGCAACCGGTTTTGCCGCTGTTTGACCCAAATCAGTATGAAGAAGCCTTTACAGGGAGAGGCAGCAGCAGCTTGCGAAAAATACAGAAAAATGTTAACCTGCTCCACTTCTACATCAGCTGAAGTTGCCAGAATTTTAGAGCGGGAACCTTTTTTTTTTCTCTCTTCCCATTTCTAAGCATTCCCAATAATTTTGCCCAGCGACTGGATATCATCCTGACCTTCTCTGTGATGTTTCTCCATTCCTGCGCAGTGTCCTCCAGAGCCCTCTCCTGGGCTCTTGCCACGCCGCGAAGCCTACTCCAGCGTCGCCATAACGACGAGAGCGCACAAGTGATCACGGCCACGTCGGTGTCGGCGACGAGCCGTTCTAACTCGACTGCCTTCTCCTTCAGAGAGTTGAGGGTTAATTCCTGCAGGTCGGCCTGAGTGACCAAAGGCTGCGGCAGGAAAAAAAAAAACAACACATCGGCACTTGTCTTAGTATCTCTTAAGATCTCTTAAATGTGTGTCTCCCACCTTGTATCGGTCACACTTGTCTTCCGCCTGCTGGAGATTGTCAGCTTTCGCCGTGGTGAACATGGCCATCTTGCTTTCTGCGTCATTCATCTGATCGACAAGACTCTCTCTTTCGTGTTGGAATGAAGCCCAGAGAGATGCACATCTAAAAATAAAATAATAATAAAAGAAGTGGCAGAAGTACATTCGCTCCGCACAAAATTTGTCTCTATGAATTGCTGCTTTTGCAAAAACAATCAAGCTAAATTTTCAATCACAGATTATCTCGAGTATTGTAGCCTAGATAGATGATGTAAATTTTTGTAATAGACTATTAGTAGTCAGAGAATAAGCTACGCTAATGGACAGATGAGTAAATCGTCACCTTTCGTGGACTTCCCTGCTGGCCTCCATCTGCTGTCTGATTTCCGTGCTCCTCCGTTGCGCGGCTTCAATTTCTCCTCTGAGTTCGCTCATCACCCGAGTGTCCTCAAGGAGCTCCCGAGTCATCATCTCCTCCAAGACAGCCATGAGGTTCTTCTCCTGAGTGTTGATTTCTTCCAGGTTCGGTATCCGGTCCGCGTTATGCTTGAGCTCCATGCCGACTACGGTCGTACGCTGAAGGAAATCAGCTGCGCAATCCAGACATTTCTGCATGGACTGCAGCGATGAGCGATACCTCCGGACCAGACTTAGAGCTTGATCCAGTGTCACCTATGATATGCAGATGATGAGAAGATGCATCCAATAGTAGACGGCTGGCAGAGTGATTTCAGAGTGCTCACAGCAATCGACCAACCAGTGGGAAAAGCAACGCCAGCATAAAATGAACTGACTTACCTGTTTGATGCTAATTTCCTTTTGGACTTCAGCTGCCAGTGTCCTCAGCTCCTCCAGTTTCTGCGCAACATGGACTGGAATAGTTTCCTTTCTGCTGTGAAACATTTGCTCCTCTCGACGAAACAAGGCATCGATTATCTTCAATCTACTCTGCGCTTCTCCTTCCGCGACGCTCACTTTGCGCATTTTCTCCTGCACCTTCACAACTTTGGCTTCTGTTAAGCTCAGTGGTTCCCTCAGAGTCTCTTTTACAGCATTCAGCCATTCTGACGTCTTTTCCGTTTCTCTCATAAGGTCGTCGCATTGCGTGATGTCATTTTGGTTTTCTTCGACACAGCGTTGCACATCCGAGCGTAAAGACTGCAGCGATTCATGCCGGGCTGTCATTTCCCGCAAGGCGGCCGGGTCAAACCTCAAGCCGAGATTGTCGTCCATTTGTTGGCTACGTTCGTTGGCCTGAGAGGAAACAGCACCCAGACGTTCGAGTAAGGCGTAAAGAGATGCAATTTTATCGATGAGATTCATTTCTTTGTCCAACCTGAGTGTATTCAGATTGTCTTTGGTGGACTGAAGTTGCTGGTCAAAGCCGTTCAATAATATGTTATGCTCCGCTAATGTTTTTAAGGCCTCATCCAAATGTTTAAGAGTCTTACTGGTTCCACTTTTTAACATACTGTGAAGATGGAGCAGTTGACGTGTTTCCTCAACTCTGAACGCGTGGCCCAGACAGAGAAAGCCCTCGTTTTTACCGTGAACTTCTCGTACTGCGCTGCCGATGTGCTCTAAACTTTCACCGATTTTGCGATAGTCATTCATTAAGCGAACAAGCTCCTCTTCACTTGTACTGATAGTCGTCTTCTCCAGATTGTCAAACTGCTCCCGTAGTCTCTCCACGGTGTTTCGAGTCACCTCCAAAGAAGTGCAGAATTCCTTCCGCTCGAGGATTAATTGCTGGAGCCTGTCTTTTTTCTCTTTGGCGAGGGCCAGGATGCTGTTGTACTGTTGCGGGAGGGCGTTGAGCCGCTCGTCCAGGTAGCAGTGGTCGATCTCGTTTAGAGTGGGAAGGATCTCCTGGCCTATCCTCTGCACTATCAGAAGGAGGTTCTCGTTCTCCGACGCTTGCTCCAAAACTTTTTGAAAGGCGGAAAGATGCTCTTGCATCTGCGAGCTGTCCTCAATGTCGCTGAGGTTGATTTCAGGGAAGGTGATGGATTCCGCTTGCCTGAGCCACTGACAAGTTTTGTTCAGGTCAACCTGGAAGTACTTCCTGGAGGTCAAGGCTTTTTCCAAGGTTGTGACACGCCGGCTGGTTCTCTGGAGGGCCATTTCGAAGACCGCCTGCAGCTCCTGGAGCTTTGCCAGGGTTTCTTCTCGCTCTTTGTCCGTGGCGTCCCTCTCCAGTTCCCGACCTTGAACCCAGAGAGATGCCAGCTCCCTCTGGTAGGCCCGAAGGGCGCTCTGGATGTTCCGACAGGCGGCCGCCTCTTTCGCTAGGTCTTCCGGGAGGAGCGCAATGTGGTCATGTATCAGAGCCTTGCTCTCCTGTTCTTCTACCCAAGAGAGGGCACGGCTAAGACCCTGAAGGAACTGTGTCCTTTCGGTGAAGGCCTAGAGAAAGATAATGATAGATTTAGAGTTGAGCGTCTTCATTGTAGAGCAACTACATTGTAGCTTACAGTTTTAACTATTATAGACGATTCTAAACAAGCTGGAGTTGTGTCAATTACTTTTTTGCTCTTCGACTACTGTACGCTGGGACAGATTAATCAGTATTTCAATCGTAGGATAAAATGAACTCTTTTAAAAAAAAGGTATTTTACCTTGCTGAGATACTTTCTCCTTTGGGTCACCCGAGCCTCCAACGCCTCCAGTTCAGTCTGCACTTGTTTGACAAGCTCCTGCAGGGATTTCCTCTCACTCAGCCCCAGCCTGGAGGCCACGGCCTGCGCCTCGCTCACCGCTCGAGCGAGGAGCTGCTGTTGAGCCTCCAGCTCCACGCAAACGCTCAGGTGGTCGAACAAGAAACTCTGGGCCAGGTCGGGAGGCGGGCTGGTCTTCAGTGCCGAGGTGAGCGTGGGCCGTTGCTCTTCCACCCACTCGCGGGCGTCCCTCAGCTGGGTTTCCACCTGCGTCAGATCCTCGAGGGTTTGCGAGGAGTCCTGGATCTTCTGCTGGATAAGACACTCAAGCTGGGCCCAGCGCTGCTCTAGATGAGCCACCTACGGAAGGTGAACCGAGAGTTATTAGCTTTAAAAAGCTGAAAAATTGGACACAGTTCTGAAATGGAATCTCACTGGAGCTACGCTACCTGTTGTTTGACCAGTTCCTTGTCCAGCAGGCTTATTCGAGGCAGGATGGCTTGTTTCTGCTCGCGGAGATCTTCTAGTGTTGCGCGTTGCTCCACAAGATCGCTGGACAACTTCCTCAGAGCTCCGAGATGCTCCCTTGTGCTTTCAGTGTCAGCCCTGTCCACAGACAATTTTTAATTTCTATTACATGTAGGTTTACACATGGTAGTTTTATTTCATTGGCAATTATGAACATTTGAGAAACTAACATTTACGACAGTACAGTGAGTAAGACGCAAGAGTTATGTGGTTGGTACCTCGCGAGGTAGTCCCACTCCCTGGACACTTGATGGAAAAGCTCCTCGACGGCAGCCACGCTCTCCTGGTACTCGCCGCTGCACTGCATGTCCTCCCCTCGCTCCGCCTCCAGCTCCTCGGCACGATGAGCCATCTCCATCGAGATCCCGCGCAGCTTCTTCGCGTCCTGCGTGGCGGCGCAGTCCTGTCCATCCGTCAGCCGCTCGATGGTCTCGATCAAGCGGCTTACCTCGGACTGCCTCTCCCTCACCTGCTGGAGGAACTCCTGCGAAAGATTGATTGTTGTAACTTTACGACAGTACCAAAAACCAAAAACGGTCCGCAGTTTCATATTTATGGCGTAGAAGAAAAACTTTTCCTCCTCTGATGGTTATTCAAAAACTGTTCAACATCATTAGCAGTTAAGCAGAAATGCACACCTGTGCTTTGTCCAGCTGGTTCTGTGCAATTCTGGGCTCGAGCTCTGATGGACATCTGATGAGGTTCTCAAGTTGCTGCTCAGTTTCTCTAAGCTGCACCTCCAGATCTGTCTTGTGCTCCTCGACGCCCCTCCAGCTGTCTGTGATCTTCTCGCAGAGCAGCCTGCGCTCATCGATCTGTGTACAAAAGGAACCATAGTTTACACTTTATACAGCATATTTTTGTTGTCTTGCCAAAACCAGTTTTTAAAAGTCTCATTTCAATGTTATGCCTTTGGGGCTCGAGGAAGGCTGTGAACCACGACCTTTAAATCTAAAATATGTTTTTTTGTGAAGCCACAAACCTGGAGTTTGACCTGCTGGATGGCAGTAGCCACCTCCTGTACCGGAAGAAGTGAGAGGTCGCAGGAGGAGCACACAAGTTGAAGGTAAGTACTGGCCTGCTCCTGGAGGGCCCGCTCCTGCTTCACCTGGCCAAACAAGTTCATAGTCACTCAACGGTCGCGCAATCTTTTGAGAGAGACTTCATTCGTGAACTGATTCCTCAATTAAGACAGAGAGATGTGTTCCCGACCTGCTGAAGGGCCTCCTCCAGGCTGAGAGGGGTTAGTGCGGGAGTTTCTGGCTCCTGGTAGGCGGACGTCAGCCAAGTCTTGCACTGCTGCAAAGTGTCTTGGAGACTGACATGTCTCTGTAGCTCATGGTTCAGACTCTGATATACCTAGAAATCATTTCAGGAAAAAAACTACATTTAATGGAGGCTCTATTACAAAAAAAGTTTGCGACTTACGTTTACAGTGCACATTATATCTTGTGTATGTAATTGAGGGACGCGGCTTTGTTTCGGGGGAGGAATTAGTCAAGGGAGGCTACTAACTCTCCATTTAAATGATAAAATTATTTTTTAAAAAAAGGACGTGCAGCATCTTATTTGACAGGTGTTGAATGTGGAGGCGTCCATATCCTCATAAACAGCCATGTCTGATTGACAAGAAAGAAAGAAAGAAAGAAAGTGGGAGGGGGGACAGGATGCATTGGCACACTGCCTGGAATTTTTTTGGCAAAGGCTCCAAAGCTGGCAATGTGGCAAGTGGCAGGCAGGATATTAGAGCTGACGTCGGGAACGCATTTGGCAGATAAAATGGTTGGGAGGGTTTACAAATTGAGGAGAAGCCAGCAGTGTGGCTGGATCACACAATGCCAGATTGGTGTTCGGGGGGGGAAAAAAAAAAAAAAAACAACCCAACAACGGTAGTGGTGGCGTCTGGGGAGGTCAGTAATGATGACAGAGTGGAAGTTGCCAAAACGGCAGAGTGGCGCTGGATTATGGTGCCGTTGAACAGTTGCCGTCATTTGGCGCAAGCATGAAAACTGTGGAGTTGACAGGGGATATACGGGGATTAATATGGCCAGATAGAGTTAGCGACTTTGGCTGGCTGGTTTCATCTCGGTGCGGTTACTGTCAGCCGGCGTTGTGGCCTCCCTGCTGGCGGTGAAGGAGCATCGTCAAGAGACGGTTTAAGTGTCGCATTGGGTTAGGATTAAGTGCTTGTTTTGGCGGCTCCGCTGAATTGACACTGATGTTAGCCGAGTGTGACTCTGCATCCGCGTGCGGCCTTATTTGCCACGTACAGAGTAAACGTTAACATCCCGATTCAAATGCCAGGTTTTTTGTGAGAAATACTAAACACAACTGTACAACTCACAATTGTAAATTTGAAACAATGTGGTTGCGCGAGTGTTCACACCCACTATTACCCATGATGTGGTTGCATTCTGCACATTCTAACTCATGTGAAATGGGAGTCCGCACACACACCTTCCACTATGGAAAGTGGCCGTGATGGACCCCAAATAAAGTTCAGCTGTTCTAGTCAGCGTTTCCTGACATTTTTTATGACATACACCCAAAACACACAAGCCTGTAAGAATAAAATCGCTGCTGTGGAAAAAAAGGCCGTGTATATAAAATGTATTTGTTTGCTTCAAAGCCCTTCCTCCCGTCTTACTCACCCTCTGCGCCGTGCTGCAGATGGCAGAGTAGCTGTCTCTGATGCCTTGCTGGTGCGCATGGACCTGCTGTCTCAGCCGACTCTGCACGCGCTCGTCGCAGCCGTTCGCCAGGTGGTGCCCGCACTGCTTCAAGCTTGCCAAGCGCTCCTCAACGCCCGCTATCTCCTCCATGATGGCCTGCGAAGGACAAAAGGAGACATCGGGTAGCGTCGGGGCCGGCGTCGCGGCGCAACGTTGGGATGTTCAAAATGGGTCAGCGACGCGGGAGGTCCCGACAGACTGATGGCACACGAGGTGGTCTCGCAGGCTATTAGGCGTGCATGAGGGGATCTGCGAAGATCACGTTCATTTTGGGAGGGCTTAGGCGGCATTTTGGGGTCTTTCGGAAAGCGCTCAAAAATAGGCGAATGTGTGAAAAGTGAATTGTGAAAATGGTGGGGATTACTATCATCGGTGTGTATATAGGGAAAAAAGTCCTGGTGGTCACCTTGTGCCTGGCTAGTTGTTGAGTGGCTGCCTCCAGGCTGCGGCTCACGCTGGGGTCGGGCGTCACCATCCTACTGGACATCTGTAGCAGCCAGCGCTCCACCTCCTGCAGTTCGTTGAGGTACGCTTCCTGCTCCTTCACTTGGCCCTCCAGTTGCGTCACGTGAGCCTAAGCGACAAGACCGCAATAAGCGCACGTGATCCAGATGAATAGTCAAGCTGAAAGATCTTATATTCAACATCGTTTCATATATTTTTTTTGCATACCATGGCCATGTTACAGAGGTCAGTGTAGTCCTTTTGCAGCCTGTTCATTTTGTCTCGGACCGAGGGGTAATGGACGGATGCCAGCAGAGCGTCGCCTTTCTCTACCACCGACCTGATGGAGCCATCGTGGGACTGAACCGTCTGCAGCAGAGTCTGGAGGGCAAACAAAACAGTCAATAGTCTTACCGCAGACAACCTCGACACATCAGGCATTTACAGAGAACCCAAAGAAATGTGATTTCATGCACTAACCACAATCAGATAATTCAATGTGTGATGACATGAGCGCCAGCATGACATAAATTGCCTTCAGCACAATGGGGCTTCATGGGTGTACAACTTCACATTCCTGTTGTGGCATTACAGCATTTCCTTCCGCAAAAGTGTCGTCTCACGGCCAACAACGAGGCACTCCAAAGCAACCACGTCACATCACAGCCTTGGTCCATGCGTTGGCTGTCAAATCAGACTTCATAACAAGCCCTGCCCACCAAAAAACGCTATTCTGCCTTTCTCTGCGTGACATGCACTCACTCAAGAACAACGATAGTGCACTCTACAGCGGCCGCTACACCAAGTTCTTTTATAGTGAGGGAGAGGCAACTCGTGCCGGGACCTGGTGACACACTTGGGCCATGTTTAGCCACGCCCCCAAAATTCTGGAAAACTGAAATGGTGAAAAACTGTTGAATGCTCAATCTCCACCACGGAGAACTGGATGCAACAGTTTTAATCTTCACACATATACTGTATTTAGAAACAAACTTTTCAAAAATGTAAAATCAGCAATTTCACCTTGTACTTCGTAAGCTGTACCCTCCGTTGGTAAAGGTCGGCTTTGGGTTCCGGAGGCGAGCACAGCAAAGCCTTCGTCTCCCCCAGCCACTGGGCCTGGGCCTTATAGCGCTCCTGGAACTCCTTCGCCAATAGCGAGGCACGCTCCAGGAAGCTGTGTTCGGTCCTCAGCCAGCCCGCCAGTTCCTCCAGCTGGGAAAGACGCGCCTCCACCTCCACTCCGAGACTCTCGGCTCCGGCCTCGCTCAGGAAGTTCGCAGCCTGCTCGGCCCGTTCCCTCAAGGACTTCAGGAAGCTGTGGCCATGGTGGAGCTCTGCTTGTAGACTCTGTGTGATCAAACAGGGCAGAAATACATATTTTTCCAGAACTGAACATTTTCAACAATGTCATACGTTTCGAAATATACTCACAACACTATTTGAAAAAACACAAAAACTCAGTTTCTAAGAACACATTGTCAAAAAGAATAATATGGAAGGAGGAGTCAATTATAAGAGCCCTAACAGGAAGAAGCTGCTGCGGGGGGTTTCCAGGGAAACAGCAACACAAGCTCGATGGGGCGCCATCGAGCTTTCGTTATGGCTCGATTACGAGCTCAGCTCGACGAGACATCTATCTATCTTAACCATGTGACGTGCCTGCCGGCGCACGTCCACGTTTGCGTCTCACCATTACCCCCTCCGTCTTTCCAGTGACCTACCTGAGCTACTTCTATCCCGTCTTAATAAGACAACCAACACATGGTTTGCTTTAATAGGACTTGGAAGTCAAACAAGAAACAAGAGCGTAATTGCCATTTGAGGTTGACTCAGCCACCTGTGTTACAGAATGCCGACTCCAAATTCCTCTCGAAGCCGCCCGCCGTTTGTCTGGACCGCTCGAAAATGTTCTTAAGTCCCTATGGTGTGTTTAGGATCCATACTGCTTCATTAACGCCTGATAAAGTAACAGACATTACAGTCTGCTGAACATTATTTATGAGGAGCTGCACACCGGGGCACCCTTTGGGCTGTTAAAACGCTCCTCCATCATGCTCATATTAATTATTCAATGTGTACTCCCTTGTTTGTGTGACAAGCATTCGGTCAACATTTGTCTGCAGTCACTGTAATCCACTACTTGAAATATTGCATTAATTATAGAAATATGTACAGGCAATGTCAAAAATCAATACATTTTGGAATGGGGATTTTTGTTTTGTTTTGTTTGATGGGGATTGTGATTGTACCTGGAAAGATGTTAACCTTTCATTTTGAATGGAATCCAAACAATCCTCAACTCATTCAGTACCAGCCAATTCTGGACCAAGTCTGAAAAGACGTTTAAAAACGTCTTTGGGAGTGAATGAGTTAATAAAAAATGTTTAAAAAGATGCTATGATATGACAAAAACATGTATGTTGTAACAAAGTAACAAAAATACATACACACAATGTAATAGTACTGCTTATGCCTAATAATGTACATTGACAGCAGGGAAGCCCCAGTACACTTCTTACGCGTGTCCACACACAAGCTCTTTGACAGCAATGTCAAGTCAAACCTCAACCAAAGTACAAATCCAACTAATCACCCTTGGCGTAGCTATTGACTGCTTTGTGTCGATGCATAATCATCGCAGACACTGCAGGGGAATGACTTAAGTTGGTGAACGGACATGTGTCAGAAGCTCTCAATCGATCTCGCACGAGGAAAACGACAGAGCTCGGGAGACGCACCACGTAGCCGACATAGTTAAGAAATTGCGCAAGCGGGGTAGTTTGCCTGAGATGCTTCGCTATACTACTGCGGACACGAGAGCAGTGTGCTGAAGCGGCCCATCAATTATAGAAGTCTGAGCCAGCAGGATGCTGACACCCGGGGCTTCTTCTTCATCCTCGTCATCACAGCGGGGCGTCACACCCTGCTAACAGCTAACAAAAGCAGCATCCGGTTTGTCTTTGTAATGACAAAGGATCGATACACACACACACACACACACACACACACACACACACACACACACACACAGTGATGATAGAAACTATTTGACATCTTGGAAAAGCAAGCTGTTTTTTTTTTTATGCAGGAGAGCTACTTGTCAAAAATTGCCATTTGGGCAAAAAAGCAAAAAGAATACGTGTTTAAAAAAAAAAAAAAGACGAAAGAACACACTTTTTTCTTGGCCAAGCATGCTGAGGCTGCCAAAAAAAAAAAAAAAGTGTTATCCAAGCAAATATACTGTGGTGCTGTGTTACCTCGTTCTCAAAACATTCCCACCATGGGCTTTAGAACCTGAAGCCAGCAGCTACATTGTGAGCAATAGAGCTTGAAAACCTGCAAATATGCACACTAATATAAAACATATTCTAACATATACAATATACTCCTCTTAAATTAAAATTGATAGTCAACTACATGACCGACTACTCTTCAACGTTGACGTGATGCACCACAAACAATCCTGCCAAAAAAAAAAAAATAATAATAATAATTTTGTGGAATATGTATCTGACAATGAAAATGAAGAAATCTTGAATTCAGTGTAAGATATAAAATGGCAGTTGTTAATTAACCCCCCCCCCCCC